CTCTGTTCCCAAGCCTCTCTATGCTCAAGACTAGTGCTCTACCACTTGAGTCATAGCACCACTTCTGGCTTTTTCTGAGTAGTTTATTGAAAGTCTTATAGACTTTCCTCCTCTGGCTCGTTTTGAACTATAGTCCTCAAATCTCAGCCTCCTGAGTAGTTAGGATTATAGGCATGAGCCACCAGCTCCCTGCTGGACCAATTGTTGAAAGAGGAATAAGGAAGAGAGGATGACACTTACCTGTAATATCTGAAAGCAGCTCCAGGGCCTCAGGAGAAGTTGGCCACAGATCCTTTCTTATTGACTCAGGGTTTCACAGTGACTTGGTCATTTGACTGTCCTGGAAAGGAAGCCTGGAAGGGAAAAAGAGGAGGGAATTACCACTCACTAAATATTAGCTTATGTCAGCCTTACCAGTTATTCTCTTTTTCATTGATGCTGGGGATTGAATCCAGGACCTCATACATGCTACCCAACCCCATTTATTGTCTCCTGTAATCCTTAAGACAACCCTGAGAACCCTGTAATCCACTGAAGGGAAAGATGACTCAGGTCATAGCTAGTAAGTGTCAGGCCTGGGATGTAAAGTCAGGCTATGCATGCTATGCACCAGGGGAGTGGTTCAGAAGCTGGGGAAGAAGGATTACCTAAGACCTGCTGAGTCCATGGCCCCACTACCCATACTGGAGAAGAGAAAAACTCCCCGATGTAGGTATTAGGGATGTGATGAGGAGTATTATGGATGGTGGGGAGAAGGGTAAAATGAGGTCTCTGTGTTCCTAGATCAGAAAAGCCCCAGCTCAGCTGCTTTGGCCTCTGCCTTTAGGATCTCTCCCATGCTAGAAGCACGTTTCTGATGGAGGCATCCAGATGGCAGGGAGGGCCCAGGAAACAGCTGAACATGCTGAGCAGACCTCCTTCTGCTCCCCTCTCCATGGCCCCATGCATCATCCGGTGGAGCTGCCCCATCTCATTGGCTCCCTCCTAGTTACTCATCTCTCTTCTTCTCCATCTTCCCAGCCCACGGTTTCCATGGAAACAGAGCAGTGACATCCCCAAAGGGCCAGGGCTGGGGAAATGCTGCTCTTGACAAGCACTGGTGTTCTGCTGCTTGCCACATGTTTCAGGCTCATCTAGTTCTACCGAAGGCAAAAGGAGAGCAGGAAGAGAGACAAGGCGATCCCCCTCTCCCAGAGTAGTATTTGAGCAAGGAGGATGCAACCAGGGAGGCAGAGAAAAGTTCATACTTAGAAGGGAGGATGGAAACCATAAAGGAAGGAGTCAGCTTTGATGAGTGGATCAGAGTGGTCCCTGCAGCAGGGTAATTGGTCTGGGATGCCTCAAGACTCACATCTGCTGGTCGTGGCCACTCAGGCTTGCAATCCCAGTACTTGACTGAAACAGGAGGATCTCAAGTCTGAGGCCAGCCTGGGGTATGTAACAGACACTTCTCAAAAACAAAACAGACAATAATTGATGACACGATGGCAGTATGAGCAGCAGTGAGCATTTAAGCGAGCCATGCTCTGGACTTTAAGTGTAGTCTTGCTCTTGCTCCCTAAATACCCCCATTTTCAAAGATGAGAGTGGCTTACATCAAGACTCAAGGCCACACCACTAGTATCCAGTGGAATCAGGACCGGAACACAGATCTTCAGGGTAGTACCTGCCAGTCTGTCCACAGCTTCCCACGCCTGCAATAGAAGGGCTATGTAGAGACACTCCTGAGTGCCTGGCCTCTCAGTTGTCAGGAAAGGAGACCCTGTTCACACTCTAAAGGCTATGACCTTGAATTGGAAACTCTCCCCTCCATGGCATCTGCTCTGGTAGTGAGGTTATTGGGGCTCCATGCCCAGCCCTGAGGCCTGTCCCTGTTACTCTGGCAGAAATGAACTTCTCAGTTCTGGCAACTGGACTATTCAAAGGAATCAAAGCCTTAGGTAGGGGGTGTGTGTGAGAGAGGACTCTTCCTCACTTGCCTTCTTCCAGGAACAGAGGAAGAGAGGCATGCAGACAAACAGAGGTTTGCCACACAAACAGAAGGTTTGCCACACATACTACAGGCATGTGGCAGAGCTGGCCTGGCACCAGCGCTGACTGCTCTGTATCTACCCTAGACACCTTCTGCTGGCTGATGTACAGTTCACACCACACTCTCATGCTCAGGGCCTTCCTATGGTCAGGAGTTCACTTAAACTCCTCTTCCTCTGAGTCCCCAATTCAGAATGGGCTTCCCAGAGTTGTCACATGAGGAATGGTCCCTGTCTAATGGGTACTTAGAAAATGCTTTTGCTGAAAAGCACAGACTCCTGACTTGGGCCCACAAGGTACGTAAAGGCAGGAGAAAAACCTGGCATTCCTGCCCTCATTTCCTGTCTCCTTTGTCTTACAACTTTGGGTCAGACTCCTGCTTAGCTGTGTACATGGACATGTTACTATCAGCTAGCGGCACCTAACCCATCTCATCCCTTTAAAGGCAGAAGGCATACAGATCAGAATGACTGAGGCCTCTTCCTATCTGCTTTCACAGACCCCTAAGAGGTACCTACCTGAAATGTCTCTGGTCATTTCTGTAAGCTGCAGTCACCTTGGATTCCAGGAACAGAAGAGCTTTCAGACACATCACCTCATGATGAGGCCACCCCCAAACAAGGACAGTCATTGCATAGGAACTGCACTGTTGCCTCCAGCACTAGGGACTTCTTCTACCACCTTGCTGAACTAGAACTGAGATAGAGATCAACCAGTCCACAGTTTGACCAAGACTGCTGAATTATGCAGACCTCTCACCTCCTTCTCTGGGTGTTCCTCCACTTAAATCGAAAGTGCATGGCAGTACCCCCACGGTGAGCTAAAACACTTATTTTTCTGTCTTCCCCAGACTGTCATTTTGAGCCAGGTGCCAGTGGCTCACGCCTGTAATCCTAGCTACTTAGGAGGCTGAGATCTGAGGGTTGCAGTTCAACGCCAACCTGGGAAACCACCAGAAAACTGGAAGTGGAGCTGTGGCTTAAAGTAAAGCACTAGCCTTGAACAAAGGAGCAAAAGGACAGTGCCCAGGCCCTGAGTTCAAGCCCCATGACTGGAAACAAACAAAAAACTATCATTTTGATTAGGCAACTTTCATTTCTCTTGTTTACTTTCTTTGTAGTGACATGCTGGAGGCTATGGCATAGAACTCCAGTCACATCTGGAGGGGAGCTACTTGAGTGGGTGTCCTGTTCCCTGTTGTCTCTCTCCATAGCAAGGTGGGCACCACACAGGTGCTTTATTTGTTTTGTCTACTTATTTACTTTGAGTCAGGATCTTACTCAGGCCAACCATCATCTCTCCCTCCATCCTTCCACCTTATAGTCTCCAGTGCTGAGTGCTTTGATGACCGCTGAATTAAGCTAGGTGTTGTGGTACAGGTCTATAATCCCAGCACACAGGAAATGCAGACGGAAGGATCTTTTTCTCATCCCTCCCTCCTTGCTGAATTGAACTTAGGGCATGAAAGGATCCATGAAAGGATCTGCTACACCCGTGCCAGGGGACTATGCAGAGGTGGGCACAGGAGAAAGATTATTACAAGGTTTATTAGGGGTGCCATATGTCCCCGGGAGAGAGAGCACAGGAGGCCTCCGCTATTTAGGTAGCAGCAGGGTCTGGGGATAGGAAGTGAGGTAGATGGGAAATCAGGTGGGTCTGAGAAGAGAGAGAGAGGGGCCAGCATGTCTGGGTGGAGCTGAGGATTAAAGGTGGGCACAATGTTTACAGGGCATCTTGTCTGCTAGGCAAGCACTCTACCACTGGAGCCCCACCCCCAGACCTGGATGGCATGTTTGAGGATAGCCTGAACTATACAAAGGAAAGTAGAGAAGAGAGGGGAGAGGGGAGAAGAGGGAGGGGAGGAGAGGGGAAAGAGGGTGGGGGAGGATGTAAAAGTGATGAATTAATGAATCGGCTTTTGTGCAACTTCCTATAAAAGGAACGCCTATAAGGTTGGAAGGAAAATACCCCAACACCTAGTTCATGGATTTTGTTTTAAAAGCTTCGTGTGGCCAGGTACAAAAGTCAAAGCAAGGTGAGCCTTAATGTTATTTAAAGTGTCAAACAATTGCACAGTAGACTCTTTAAGAAAGGGAGCAGTCTGTGCCGGCCGCAGACTTGCTATCAGCGCCTGGAGGAACCATCTGAAGGTCCAGCATTTCCAGATGGCGAGGGAGAGGGGGAAAGACCTGAGCCCAGGGCTCGGAGAAGGGCGGAATACCTGCGCAGGGGCGGGGGGGGGGGGGGGGGGAGAGGAGGGGAGGGAAGAGGGGAGAGAGGAGGGAAGAGAGGAGGGGAGGGAAGAGGGGAGAGAGGAGGGGAGGGGGGAGGGAAGGGGAGGAGGAAAGGGGGCACCAGCGGGAGACATTCCGCGGGGAGGGGCAAGCACGTGTGGGGCAGGCACGTGGGAAGGGTCACGCTTCGTCCCAGAGCAGGTGAGGACACGGGGGCGGCTCTCAGCCACCGCGGGGCCCGGGGCCCGGTGCCCGCGGCGGGCGGGAGCGGGCTGGGGCCTTGGAGCCAGCGAACAAAGACTTGGTGTCTGGGATCGGGCTCACCTACTAAGCGTGACCTTGGCAGCCCCCCCCCCCGGCCTCGGGCTGTCCACGCGCGTGAGGACAGCGGTGTCAGTGTCACCAGCATCCAGCAGTGCCCAGCACGGGTTTCCATTCTCCTCCAGCCCCGTCTCGGGGAGGCACGGCGCGAGGGAGGAAGCGGCGGCCGGCGTGCGCCCGGGCCGTGCCTCGAGCTTCCCTTGTGGAGGAGGCCGGTCCTGCCCGTGTGTGCGCGCGCGCGCTGGCGCGGGGGGCACCGGCGGGCCGGGGCGCCTCCCCCACCCCGGCCAGCCCCTCGGGGCAGCGCCCGCCCCGGGCTTCCTATTTCGGGAGCCCGGGGTGGGGGAGGTGAGGGGGTGGGGCGGGTGGGCCGCGGCTCGTCACGTGATGGCGGGGCTATTTAAAGCCACCCGCTGTGGCCGGGAGCCGCTGGCCCGGGACTCCCTGCTCTCCATCCCACTCGCCCCCAGTGCCTTGTCAGCGCAGCCCAGCTCACCATGGTGGACGCCTTCGTGGGCACCTGGAAGCTAACGGACAGCAAGAATTTTGATGAGTACCTCAAGTCTCTGGGTGAGCCGGCCAGCCGCGGGGCTCAGGGCGCGGGGCCGGGGAGCGGCTGGCTGCGCGCCCCGCGCCCCCGCCGGCGGGCTCCGCGCGCCTGCCTCCTGCGTCCCGCGGCCCGCACGCGGGAAGGGCACCCAACCCAGGCAGGGATGTGCGGGGAGGAGGCCGCTGTGCGCTGGTGCTGGGTACCCCCGTGCTTTCTAGGAAGCGGGGGTACCGGATCTGGACTGGGAGGAGGTGGATGGATCGAGCGCGCGAGCGCGCAGGAGGCTGGGGAAGAAAATTAACAGAGACACGGGTGGCCAGGAAATTGGAGTGGGGATGGGGGTGGGGGCCCGCGGCTGAGTCTGGAAAGGGAATGGAGTAGACAGGGAGTGTGGTATCCCCCAAAACAGGAGGTTCAGTAAGAATAGGTGAATAGATTGTGGGTGAAGAGACCAGGGTTAGGGAAGGTGCCCTCCTTCTCACCACGCTGACCTTGCCTCCCCGCCCGTTCCCTCCCCCCTCCCGTAAGTAACCAAGACTTACTGGAGTCTAGTGATAGGGTGTGGCTAGAGGCCCATCACCACCCAGGCTTTCCCTGCTGGCCTGTTCAGTGCAGAACAACCACTGGACGTCTGCGGTGCAGCAGAGGTTCCCAGAGTAAAGCCTAGACCTGTTAAAGGGTCACTAGCCTAGGAGGAGGTAGAAAGCAGTGTGGTTGGTGTTGGCATGGAGAACAGTTTCTAAGAATCTTACAAGTAAAGGACCTTGGAGCTCTCATTCCTGGACTATTGAACAGTGAAAGGTCCAAGGATGGAAAGTTGTCATTAAAAAAAAAAATTCCAAGCCAGGTGACCGTGGCTCACCCCTGTAATCCTAGCTATTCATGAGGCTGAGATCTGAGGATTGCAGTTCAAAGCCAGCCAGGGCAGGAAAGTCTGTGAGACTCTTATCTCCAATAAACCACCAGAAAACTGGAAGTGGTGCTGTGGTTCAAGTGGTAGAGACTCACCTTAAACTGAAGAACTGAGGGACAGCACCCAGGCCTAGAGCTCAAGACCCATGACCAACCCCCCCCCCCCCAAAAAAAAAATCCCACAGCAGAACTAAGATGAAAACAGGATCTAGAGCTACAGCCCACAGCCCTTCTGGCTACACTGTAGGCCCCAGGAGAGGGAGGGGTGGTATGAATTGCTTACCCAGAGGCTGGCTGAGCTGCTCTCCTGGTTTGGGATAGGATGATGGCATCCTTTCCCTAACATTCCTGGCTGCACTGTCCTAGTTCACCAGCCCTGAAGAGTGAAGACTGGGCAGGACTGGTAGTCACTGTTGTGCTAGGTCGCAGGACTTCCTCCAAAGGAAACAGGCCTGGATCACAGAAGATAGGAAAAGTGTGTCTAAGGATCGGTCTCCCCTCCACTTCTGGTCCTATCCTGGACAAGGCTTAGTGTAGCTGTGGAGGCCCTAGCTCTCAGTGGAACCTATCTCATCTTGGGGCATGGTGCCCAGTGGTTCTAGGGAGGCAGCCATTTGGGGGGGACAGTATTGGGGGGTTTGGACTCAGAGCAAGGTGCTCTATTAACCCAGGAGACTGAAATCTTTATTCTTCTAGCCTAGCTGGGATGAAAGGTATGTACCACCATACCTATTCTTTATTGGTTACTGCCTGGGCTGGCCTCAAACAAATGATCCCTTCTAGGATTTCACTGAGCAACAGTAAGGCAGCAATTCTTCCATTCTCCTTCTTCTTCTTGATGGTACTAGGGTTTGAACTTTTACCAGGATTTGTTTTGTGCCAGTACTGGGGCTTGAACTCAGGGTCTAGTCACTACCCTTTAGCTTTTCTTTTTTTTTTTTTTGTCGGCCGTGGGGCTTGAACTCTGGGCCTGGGTGCTGTTCCTCAGCTCTTCAGCTCAGGGCGAGCGCTCTACCACTTGAGCTACAGCGCCACTTCCGGTTTTCTGGTGGTTTATTGGAGATAGGAGTCTCACGATCTCTCCTGCCCGGGCTGGCTTTGAACCGCGATCCTCAGATCTCAGCCTCCTGAGTAGCTAGGATTACAGGCGAGAGCCACCAGCGCCCGGCCCCTTTAGCTTTTCTATACGGGGCTGGCACTCTACCAATTTGAGCCACATAGTTCCACTTCCACTTTCTGCTGGTTATTTGGAGGGTCTCATGAACTTTTCTCTCCAGGTAGGTTTCAAACCTCAGTCCTCAGATCTCGGTCTCTGGAGTAGCTAGGATTATAGGCATGAGCCATCAGTGCCAGGCTTATACTGGGATTTGAACTCAGGAACTTGTACTTGCTCAGCTAGTGCTGTCACTTGAGCCACACCTCCAGCCCAACTTTTGTGTTGGTTATTTTGGATATGTAGTGTCTCCGAGATCCAGGTTGGCCTCCTAACAAAGTTCTCCAGATCCCAGTCTCCTGAGTAGCTAAGATTACAAGAGTGAAATATTGGCACCCAGCTAGGGCAATTTTGTTGTTGTTGTATTGGCAGTATCATGGTTTGAAATCAGAGACTCGACTGGCACTCTACTACTTGAGCCATGCCTCCAGCCATTAGACAACCATACCTTTTTTTTTTTCTGGTTGTGGTTTTTGAACTCTGGGCCTGGGCACTGTCCCTCAGCTCTTAGCTCAAGGTGAGTGCTCTACCACTTGAGCCACAGTGCCACTTCCAGTTTTCTGGTGGTTAATTGGAGATGAGACTCTCACGGACTTTCCTGCCCGGGTTGGCTTTGAACTGCGATCCTCAGATCTCAGCCTCCTGAGTAGCTAGGACTACAGGTGTGAGCCACCAGCACCCAGCTAAGACAACCATTTTTAAGAATTCCTAGGCAACTGCTAGGGAAACTGGACTGTCAAGGTTTTGTTCTCAAAGAGAACACAGGGTCAAACACCTGAGTCCCTGAGCTGAGTTGTGGCAGCCATATCAGCCTTGTTCCCTTATGCTGCTCTAATATGGACTAGAGAACAGATCTCCAGAAACCCCACTATGTTTGCACAGCTTTTGTGTATCTATGCACTGTGGGGGTCTGAAGCCAGCATCGGGCATGCTAAGCACATGCTCTCCTATGTGCTTACTGAACAGCACATCTAGCCCAGGGCAGCTTAGGTTAGGAAGCCAAAATTCCAGCCAGCCAGCTTTCCTCACCACACAAATGGAAAGGTTAAGGCTCACTAAAGCAAAAAGCCCACGCAGCTCTCAGTAAATAGCTTTGGCTTCATTCCTAATTGGAACCCACCTCTTTTAAGTCTAAATTCTGTCAGCCAGTTTGTTTAGTTTCTCTTGGGACAGCATAAGTATTTTCTTCCTAAAACACTCCCACCTCGAAGTAGGCTCTAGGCAGACAGTTCCTAGTTCAGTGATGAAGCCCTGCTTTGTGCTAGACTATGTGGCTGGCGCAACTCTGCTACCATGAGGCAAAGCCAAGTCAAGGTTCCCAGCCGAAAGGCCTGTGGGCTGCATCAGCATTTGGGACAGTAGAAGCCCCTCTGGCCATAAACCCAGGTTTCTCAGCCTCTGCTAGAGGCCCAGCTTTACCAGAGGTCACAGACACATCTGGGAACCTTTGTGCTTGGACTGAATGCAGGCTGTGCAGAGCAAGACAGTAGGAATAGGTGGACACTGAAAATCTAGGTTAATTACTCCTATCTTGGACCAGACACCTTGCTTATTGAGCATCATTTGTAAACTGAATCATAAAGCCTACTCTCAGGGCTTGTCTCAGCACTAAGTGCAACACTATGGGGAGTGTATATAGTGCACCTTCCAGCAAGCACTGTGATTGGCACCTTCAGAGAGCTGACACTCCACTTCACCATACTGGCCTCACCTCAGCCTAGGAATGGAGCTAAGCACACTGCTTATCCTTGCTCCAGCCCACAGGTAGAACTGTCCAGGTGCCTGGTGCTCTGCCTCAGGTCATGGTGCGGCTGGGCAGTTAAAAGGGCTCTGGAGCCTAAAGAGCCCAGGGCTTCAGTCTTATTTGTAACCTGGGCTTATATCCAGCTCAGTATTTAAATCTACAAAATGGAAATAAAATATCAGCTCTTCAAGGGGACAGGAAGGTCTGAGCCAGGTAGCATATTTTGGAGTCTTACCATCCAAAGTAGTCAATACCTTATTCTCATCTCGGCAACTTTACTAACTTGATGTAGCAGGCCTGTTTCCTATCTGTCTACTGGGCACACGGAACTGAGGGAGACTGAATAAAATAGCCACACAAAGGCTCTGAGAGTGGAGCTGGATGCTCATACCTGTAACCCCAGCTACTCAGGAGGCAGAGACTGTGGGGAGGGAGGCTCAGGTTCAGATCAGCCTAGGCAAAATGTAAGATTCCATCTTAACAAATAAGCTAGGTGAGGTAGTTCACTCCTATGATTCCAGCTATTGGGATGCAAAAGCAGGAGGATCAGAGTCTGAGGCTGACTCCGGAGAAAAACTTAAGCCTGTGTCTGAAAAATGCCTAAAGCAAAAAAGTGTGGCTCAAGTAGCAGAGAGCCTGCCTAGCAAGCATGAGGCTCAACTTGAGTTCAAACTCCTGCCAAAAATAAATACTTTGTGTGTGTGTGAGTCCGGTCATGGGGCCTGAACTCTGGGCCTGGGCACTGTCCCTCAGCTCTTCAGCTCAAGGCTAGCACTCTACCACTTGAGCCACAGTGCCACTTCCAGCTTTTTTTGCTTATGTGGTGCTGAGGAATCGAACCCAGGGCCTCATGCATGCAAGGCAAGCGCTCTACCACTGAGCCACCTTCCCAGCCCAATAAATACTTTTTTCCTGACAGCAGTTACTCTTCGAGTTTTTGTACAGTGCCTCCCTGCCCAAGCTCCTATACTCCTAACCTTCCCTTTCCCCACCCTCAGGTGTGGGCTTTGCTACTAGGCAGGTGGCATGTATGACCAAACCTACCACAATCATTGAGAAGAATGGAGACATTATCACCATAAAGACTCACAGCACCTTCAAGAACCTGGAGGTCAGCTTTCAGCTGGAGGTGGAGTTTGACGAGACCACAGCTGATGACAGGAAGGTCAAGGTGAGTGAGAGGAATGAGAGGGGAAGGGGAGGAAGAGGGTGCTGAGACCCTGAAGGGACTGACTGGCTGGCTGGCTGCTAGCTTCCTTGATGCTGAACACTGAGGGTTTAAGTAAAACAAGGTCACAAAGCTGCTCAGTGCTGGGGTGCCCCAGGGCCCAAGTTGGTGGTTCTCCTCCTCTCCCTTTTTGGGAAGCCCTGCTGGCTGCTGTGGAGTGGGCAGCACCTGGAGCCAGGATGTTCTTCTAACCTCAATGTCTCTGAGGCCCCAGCTGGGTGACCTTGTGCAAGGTATGCAGCCCTGGCTTGCTTCCCTCTTCCATAGATGGAGGAGTTATGTGGTCATGGCTGTGACCTCAAGTGCTTTAGGAACGATGCCCAGAAGCCAGGGCCCTTTCCTGAGAGAGGTCATCCAGGCCTCTGGCAACAAACATGGCACCGGGCAACAAGAGGCTGAGCCCTACTCAGGTGCTTCCTCTTCTGCAAGCTGAAGCTCCCAGGTTTTGCCAGTGGTGAAGATAGGCAGAGCTATGCCCTAGAATGGGTATTCATGTGGTCCTGGGTATCTGCTCCGTTTCCCAGGGGTGGCTGGGAGGCACATACCTCCAGTTTCAGCCGTCAGCCCATGGCGCCTGTCTTGGCAGCTTGCCTCAGGCATCCAGCACTGGGACTGGCGGGGAGAGAAAACCAGGAGCCTTGCTTTGACAGGGCAGCCCTACAGCAGCATCCTCTACCCCATGACCCTGAAATTCAGCTCCTCACTGTTTCCTCTTCCTCTCAGTTGCCTCCAGGAACAGGGCAGGGGCTGGTCTGCTTACAAAGGAAGAAGAGCTATAGCCCAGCCTGGGATCACACAGCAGGTTGGCAGTAGAGCTGAGATAGTGCCCAAAGATGGTAGCTTCCCTAGGATGAAGGTGGCTGCCAACCACAGAGGGCAAGAACCCCAATGAAAAACTATGGCCTTCTATTGGCCAATCTAATCTGAGTGGCAAAAACATAGGGGAATGAGAACCAGGAGTAACGTGGTATACAGATAGGACAGCAAGAAATGAGTGACCCCAACATATTTATAACCTTCACAGTCTCCTAGTGAACCCTGTTAAGTCAAGGCTCTTGAGACTGGCATATCCCCCCTAAATTCCTAGAGGAGACCTGGGAGAGCTGCCAATGGGAACCAGCTGATGCATGCTGGCAGCACCCAGAGGTCTAAGAGAGCTTTTGAGCCAGGGCTAAGGAACACTCCAAGGACAGTTCTGAGACCTTGCCCGCTGAAGGGAGTACATGACCAGAAGTGGAAGTCCTTTAGAAGAATCTTCTAAGGAATTTAGACATTTGGAAGTGGTGCTATGGCTCAAGTGGTAGAGCACTTGTCTTAAGCTGAAGAGCTGAGGGATAGCACCCAGGCCCAGAGTTCAAGTCCCACAACCGACCAAAAAAAAAAAAAGGAATTTAGACATTTGAGCAATGACAGACACAAGGCTGGAAATTCCCAGGACTCCTCCACAGTATCCTTCTCAGGGACAGGGACAGGTTCTTTATACGAGGGAACTGGGGCCATGGCACTTACACATAACAAGTGATCCTTATTTATTTTTATTGGTGCCAGGGTCTCACATATGCTACACCTTACCTCAGCACAAATGCCTCCATTTTGGAGGATCATGGTACTTCTAGGCGGGGCACTCTTCCTCTGCCATGTTTCTATGTATTCTCTATGTATTCCCTATCTTAGGCCCCTCCCCTCGTCAGTCAACTGTGGACCAGAGGCTGAGGGCAACCTGAACATCCGACTTTGGCTAGGATGGAGGCGGGCTGTCTGAGCTCTGCTCCTGGCACTGTCACTAGAGTTGGGGTCAGAGGTTGTCTTCTGTGGCCCTGAACCCATCCTGCCCCTCAATCCTGGCTTAAGATCACTGCTCACGCCTCAACCCTCTTTCCACAGTCCATTGTGAGGCTGGATGGAGGCAAACTTATCCATGTGCAGAAGTGGGATGGGCAAGAGACAACGCTTGTGCGGGAACTAAGTAACGGGAAACTCATCCTGGTAAGACGGGCAAGTTGGGAGCCTCTGCTGCTTAGTCTACACTGCCCCCTCAACAAAGCCTGTTCTACAAAGTCAAAGCCTCCCTGAAAGGCACCACAGATGGGATAGGAGAGGCAGGGTCATGACTTTGGCGTCACAATGGGCTAAGATTAAAGCTTCACTTTTTGTGAGAGTGTAAAATGAGCAATCAATCACCAAAGCAACCTTTGCAAGCTGCAGAGAACTCTGGAAGAGATCGTGTGTTCATAGCAGACAGCATCAGGGAGGTGGGAGGAACAGAGGTGACCCACAGCCTTAATTTCTCCCTCCTGTTGCTGCCTCACCCCCCTCCAGGCAGAAAGCAGGGCTCTCTAGAAGCAGCTCCCTCTTCCCATCCCAGCATCCCTGCATGATCACGTGCAGGGCAGGCTGGTGATCCAGGAAGGCACTGACTGGCAGGAGCCCCTCTATCCCAGGCCCACCTCTCAGTGTGTGGTTGATGTCGGGGATCACAAATCTGGGGACTGTACTTGGACCCAGGAGCAACCACTTGGTGGGCCTCTGCACTGCTGACATCCTTGGGTCAGCAGAATGTGCTGATTGCCTTCTGGCACTCATATGAAGCTGGGGTCCTCAAAGGGTTGGGAGTGAGGGGTCCAGCTTTGTGGGGATATAAAATACAAGACCAAATACTCGTTGGTCACTCTACAGTGAGATCATGCACTTGACTCTATATGCCAGACTGAAATGAGGCTCAGGGCCTGGGTCCTGATACTGCCCCGAGTTTGGGGGAAGGGAGAGTTGGCACCTTACTTAGCACAGTTGCTTCTCAAGTGTCTCTGACTCTTTTGTGAGGCTGAACCTGCTAGGAGGGTTCTCTACCATTGAGCCATGTCTCCAACCCTCTTTGGACACTTCCTTCATCTCTGTGTACTATGTGCCAGGCACTATCTTCCATGCTAAGCTTGAAGGAAGCTGAATGGTAGAAGAAGAGGAATGCCTCTTTCTAGGTTCATTTTCCACACCTCTAAAACAGGATTATGATGCATATTTTTAAAAGACTTACATCAGAACAAACACATGTCAGGTGCCCTGCACACAGCAAGACCTCAGGTGATGATCACTGGATAAGGGGAGAGGGGATGCGAGGCCCTCCTTGCTCCACCCCATCTGATTCTGTCTTTCCTTCCAGACACTCACCCATGGCAGTGCAGTGAGCGTTCGAACCTACGAGAAGGAGGCATGACCTGCCACACCATCATGGACTGCCCCTTTGCCAACTGGCTCAGCACCACATTGCCTCATATTTTTCCTCTGGCATTTTATATAAATCTACTTTGGTTGGGGAATTCCTTGGGGTCAAGTGGCACCAGTTTAGATCGAGTTCCTCCTCCCACTGTGTATGTGTTTTTTTTGTTTTCTAAATGATATCCAAAGTACCAAAGGGTACTCTGAGGTCAATAAAGCAGAACAAAGGCCACCCCAGCACCATTTGCTGTTCGTGACATGGCTCTGAGAATCATTTCCCCTGTGTGGCTGCCTGAAGGCTCTCTGGAAGAAGCCCTGGATGAGAAGCTGAAATGGACTAATGTCTCAGGGCCAGCAAGTCAGACTGTCTTACACATTCAATAATGGAATAGCTCCACCTAGATGTCATCTTAAATGAGCTAGTTCCCTCAGTGCTGCAGCTTCCCCAAGCTGCTCTTGTTCTAATGACCTTGGGTCTAGCTCTCTAGGGACACAGGATCCAGGCTTGTACCACTCTGGTGGGAGATCATTACTGCCTAAGAACCAATGCTCAGCTCCCACCTATGCCTCAGGCTAGTACCCGAGGTTCCAAACTCTTCCTTGTTCTCTAAAGGACTCTGGGGAAAAGGTCATCTGATTGGTAAAGAAGACTCTGGGGTAAAAGGTCATCTGATCAGTGCTGATGGAAGGGCTTAAAAGTGAGCTCCCAAGAAGGCAGTGACCTGCTAGCTCCTCTCCTCTGTACTTCAGCTGGGACCTTCTCCAAGGACTTAGGTAACATACCAAATGCTATTCTGTCAGCTAGTGCACATTCAATGACTTTTAAGTCTGTTAAGTTACTCAGGGACAAGGATAATAAGAATAAGGGCTTTTGGCAAATTTAAAACCAAACACTTCCATTTAGTGCCAGGAATTTAAGCAGAGGCCTGAAGTACAATTAGATTCAAATAGTAATAAATAGAAAATAGAGCAATGATCTTGACTTCTGATGTCTGGTTTAGTGGTCTGCTGGAATGTCATACACAAGATAAGTCACACTGCAAATGACTGTTTTCTGGTTGTCACTTCTAGCTCAGGGGAACCATGTTGAGGGAATGGAAAGAGTGAATGCCACTCCTTCCCATGTTCTCCCACCTGCTGCCGGCCTCCTGCCTCCTGCTCCCACCCTGGATGGGGCAGCAGAGACTACCTACGAACTGGCCAATACAGACCAACAGGAAGGGGTCCATCACATCCCCAGCAACAGCCAGGTTCACCTCTATAGCACTTCCTGTGGCTCAAGACTGGACTGCAAAGGAAGCCAGCTCTGGCAGTGGCAGCTGTATGAAAGAAGCTAGGTGAATGAGTGGGTGGGTTGCAGGGGTCACTTGCAAAGGAATCAGGAACAATAGAAAACTCAATTCAGGCAGCTGCTTTTGGCCTCTAGCTCCCAAATCTGCCTGCTGCATGAAGAAGCCATTTCTGGGAGAAAAGTCAATGGGGTGGGAGGCCACCTTCTCACTACTGAGTCTTTCCAGGAACCAGAGCATCAAGCACAGAGCTCCTGGCCCTCATTGCCCCTCACCCCCACTTGTTCTCTGCTCACTCCTTGTGCTTCTTCTTGTGCTTCTTCTTCTTCTTCTTCTTCCTTGATGCCTTGCTGTCTTTTGAGGCATGCCTTGCCCTCTTGCCAGTGTCACTGTCCGAGTCTGAGCTATCAGAGTCAGATGACTTCCTGTCTCGATGCTTCTTTTTCTTCTTTTCCTGAAAAGAAAGTTAAAAAATTCAACAGTGTGGGTAAGTACCTGCTTTAAAAAATACAGCAGGAAGGCCGGGCGCTAGTGGCTCACGCCTGTAATCCTAGCTACTCAGGAGGCTGAGATCTGAGGATCGTGGTTCAAAGCCAGCCCGGGCAGGAGAGACCGTGAGACTCCTATCTCCAATAAACCACCAGAAAACTGGAAGTGGCGCTGTAGCTCAAGTGGTAGAGCGTTCGCCTCGAGCTGAAGAGCTGAGGGACAGCACCCAGGCCCAGAGTTCAAGCCCCACGACCGGACCAAAAAAAAAAAAAAACTTTCAGAAAAGGTCCCTACAGGTTATCCAGTCTCTATCTAAAGACAGTGACTCACATATGCAGGGACACAGAACAGTTGGATGCTGGTGGGTCATACCTCTTATCCTAGCTATTCAAGAGGCTGTGATCTGAGGATTACAGTTCGATGCCATCCAGGGCAAGAAAATCTGTGAATCTTATCTCCAGTTAACCAGCAAAAAACAGCTGGAAGTGATAGAGCCCCAGCCTTGAGCAAAATAGTAAGATTGAGAGGCCCCAAGTTTGAGCATCAGAACACACACACACACACACACACACACACACACACACACACACACACACACACACACACACACACACACACACACACACACACACACACACACACACCACAAGATGAAAGCAGATTTCCACTGGAGCATGGCTCAATGGGTAGAGCACTTGCCTAGCAAGCTTGAGGCTACACACACACACACACACACACACACACACACACACACACACACACACACACACACACACACACACACACACACACACACACACACACACACACACACACACACACACACACACACACACCACAAGATGAAAGCAGATTTCCACTGGAGCATGGCTCAATGGGTAGAGCACTTGCCTAGCAAGCTTGAGGCTATGGGTCCAATCACCAATTCTTGGGGACAAAAGTATGCAAAAGATTTAGGATTTATAACTCCCAGTCTGGCAGTCATACCATCAACTACTCTTGAATATTTATCATCTCTAACATTCACAACATCACAAAAGTATACTGATAAAGAAAAAAGCTTGGAGCCAGGCGCTGGTGACTCGTATATACCTAGCTACTCAGGAGGATCATGGTTCCATGCCAGCCCGGACAGGAAAGGCTGTGAGACTCTTATCTCCAATTAACCACCAGAAAACTGGCAGTGGCACTATGGCTCAAATGGTAGAGTGCCCACCTTGAGCTGAAGAGCTCAGGGATAGCACTCAGGCCCTGAGTTCAAGCACCCCCCACCCCAAAAAAAAGAACAAAGCTTAGGCCAGGAGTGGTGACACACATGTATAATCTCAGCACTAGGGAGGCAGAGACAGAAAATCCCAAGCTTGAGGCCATTGAGGACTACATGGTGAGCTCCAAGTCAGTCAGTGCCACATAGTGACACCCTGTCTCAAACACAAAAACAAAACAAAAAGAACAAATTTAAGAACTTTCTAAAAACTAGATCCCCAAATACCATGCTGCCAGAGTAACAGTACAGCCTACAGAAACATAGGAGGCAGGTTCCTGTGACACTGTCAAGGCAGTTTTTAAGCACTTTCCTTGAATTTCAAATATCTGTATTGCCTCAGTAAGGTTTCTGAATGAGGAAGAATAGAGGGAGGAGAAAAGGAAAGAACAAAGCACAATGCTACTGCTCTTCCTATAGGCTTCCAACTGGGAGCTGGCTGTCAGAAGGCAGCAGTGACAGGGTAGAAAGAACAGCTGTTAGACAGACCTCCATCTGCTTGTTCTTATGACTGTAACCTTGGCCAACCACCCCACCCCACTGAGTCCCAGCCTCCTCAAATAAAAACCAGATAAAAATAGCACCTATGTCACATGGCTGTGATTTAATGACATAGTATTTATGGTCTGCAGAGGGTGAAGTTGCTTGCCCCAGATCTGCCTCTCTGATCTGGGGCAAGCTGCTTCCAACTGCTGCATGGGATTTAACATTTTTTGAAGCTCACTTTTCAGTAAAAGGGAAATTTTTACAAGAACATACTTCAGAGGGTATTGTGGGAATTCAGTGGGTCCTAACTGTAGTGGCTGATACTTTACAGACACTCAGTGGGAGATAGCTATGGTAGGTTTTGTGTGTTTTTCCTGGTGCCAGGGATTGAGCCCAGGGCTCTGAGCATGCTCAGCAAGCACTCTACCATGAAGCTACACCCTCAGCCCACAAGAAGTAATTTTCTCTTATTTCAGAGAACTCCCAGGATGCTCTTACAGTGTGGCTAAATAGCTACAGCAGATGAACCTAAATTTTAGGTTTAAAGCAAAATCCTTTCTTGGCATCTCCCATGGGACAGAGATCGAGTGGGAACAAAGTAACTATGGCCAGGAGCTGAGAGCAGGGAAACATGGCACAGTGCATCTCTCTACGGCAAGGCTATGGGATATATCCCCCATCAGGGGGTATTTTGGGCTTGGGAGCTTCACTAGGCTCTGCCCTTTTACATAGGACAGGGTCCTAGGAAAGTAAATAAGCACATGGATAGCCAGGTACTGATTCCCTCCAAGCCTAGCCTAGCCTGAGTAAGAAATAGGGAGAATAATGCTGCCTTACATCTAAGAAACACATCACAGTTTCTCAATAATTTGTTGGGGAAAGTAACAGGCTTGGATGGGGATTGCAGGGCACAGAGGGAGTATGTGAATGAGGATGAATATGGTTAGTAAGAGGGGAAATGAGATCGGAAGAGTGATGGAGGGAGTGAGGTTGATTAGGATACATTGTATACATGTATGGAAATATCACAATGAAACCCCTTTGCACAACTAATGAATACTAATTTAAAAAGATCATCTGTCAAAACCAAAATTCATTATTTTTGCTGAGATGGATTCTCACTAGATAGCCCAGGGTGACCCTAAAACTGGTAATTCTCCTGTCTCACACTCCCAAGTACCTGAGATTATAGATATGTACCACTGTACCAGCTAAAATTCACTGATTATTATTCCCAGATTTCACAGATGGAAGCCTGTAATTCAGAGAAGAAAAGCAAGTTGAGAAAGGCTAAGACAACAAGAATGCCATGTTTCCTAGTTTGGCACTTTTTCAACTTTGTTCTCAAACATGCTGGCTCAGGAGAAGAACAAAATGCTAGAGAATCCTGGTGCACTAGGGCATGCATGGACTCTGGCAATTGAGGACTGAAAAGAGGCTTTCTAACTAACACTCAGTTTGAATGCAAAAGTGCTCATGCAATCTGAAGGGACACAATTCACATTCCAGCAGGTGGCAGTATGTGTGCTGGGTCTAGCTCTGAGTTAGAACACATAAGAACAGTTACTTCAGAAAGTCAACAGGAAAGTTGGGAGTTGTGTAGGGAAGGCAGAGAGTCATTAGTTTCTGATCCCTAGACTGCATTCAAGTAGGAAAAGGAAAAAGATAAAGGGCAAAAAAAAAAAAAAAAAAAGAAAAAAAGAGCCAGGGTGTGAACCTAATATAAATGAAGGGAGGCACTGAAAAGAAGCTTGAATGTTTCTAAGACACTAGAGAAAGCAGATATTCTTTGCTAGAGCATGCTTTCCAGGGCTCTGAAACAGATTCTCAATAGCCAAATGCAAGGGAAAAACAAAAGTAAAAGCAAAACTTGAGACGAGAGAATTGCAGCGATATGCAACTAATTCAGTGTTTAATAATCCAGATGTGGGGCTGGGGCTGTGCACACGCATCTCACCTAACTTTCATCAATAAATGGGCAAACTTTTTAGGAAAGAGAATTGACTTCAAAGAGGGTGACTAAGATGAAGTGACTTGCCCATGTGGTAGGACCTAGTTCAACTCTCACTAGGACCCAAAGCAGATGTTCTTTTAGCCTGGCAATGCCATGTTAACACCTAAATCCTTTGGAACTGATTTAGAGAGAAGTCAAGCAAATGCTGGTTCTTAGGAAATGACTGTCAAGAGATGATTTGATTCTTAAACTGATTTTATAGAATAAACTTTTGGGAAGTAGTACAGAAGACAAATCCTGGCTAGAAATTGCCTATAAGGTACCAGTTTATTTCCTTGCAAAGGAAAAAGCAGAAGAAAAAGGTCTATCAATCAACGATTTAGAACCTAGGAAGCACATTAGAGAGCCACAGTTATATATAGTGTTGCTTAGGTCATCAGGAAAACAAATTTCTTTTTGTGCTAGTACTGGGGCTTTAACATAGGGCCCTGAGCTTTCTCTTGGATTTTTCTTCTCAAGATGGTGATCTATCACTTGAACCACGCCTGTACTTCTGGTATTTTGCTGCTTAATTGTAGATAAGAGTCTCATGGACTTTTCTGCTTAGGCAGGCTGTGAACCTCAATTCTCAGATCTCAGCTGCCTGAGTAGCTAGTAACAACATGTATGCTAACCATATCTCCAATGAGCTTCATCTTGAAGCCTACAACAATTGTAATCCAACTAGTAAGTTACAAGTTGATATACACAAAGATTTTTTTTTTTTTTTTTGGTTGGTTGTGGGGCTTGTACTCTGAGCTTGGACGTTTTCCCTGCACTCTTCAGCTAAAGGTAAGTGCTCTACCACTTGAGCCACAATGCCACTTCCGGTTTTCTAGAGGTTTATTGGAGATAAGAGTCTCACGGAGTTTCCTGCCCGGGCTGGCTTTGAACCATGATCCTCAGATCTCAGCCTCCTGAGTAGTTAGGATTATAGGTGTGAGCACCCGGCTAACACAAAGATACTTTAAAAATAAGGCATACGCTTCTGTAGCCCCCAACCAAAAGCCAGTAGCAGGCCAGTGCATCCCTTTCCCAGGGTTTGCTAGAACAGACATTTAGGCAACTTAGGTCCCTTGTAATGTTGGGCACAAACAAACCCTTCCCTATGTATGCATTTTATTTTTTTTTAATTTTTTAATTTTTTGGATCCGGTCGTGGGGCCTGAACTCTGGGCCTGGGCGCTGTCCCTCAGCTCTTCAGCTCAAGGCTAGCACTCTACCACTTGTCACAGCGCCACTTCCGGCTTTTTTCTTTTTGCTTATGTGGTGCTGAGGAATCGAACCCAGGGCCTCAGGCATGCAAGTTAAGCGCTCTACCACTGAGCTACCTTCCCAGCCCCTGCATTTTATTTTTTGCCTTTAGTATGCACTTTAGCCTATACAGCCAATTAATAAAAACAATGATTGAGGAAAATAAAAAGGCATAAAACCATTCATATACTAACAAAGGGCAATGGAGATTTGGATATGGGTTGACTAAGCAGACTATTAAAAGCCTCATACCTAGCAGATCTTTAACAACTGTTTTGGTGAAATGAAATACATGTGTCAAAGTGGCTCCAGTTAACCAGCTAAACAGCTGGACTGAAGATATAACTCAAGTGGTACAATAACTGCCTAGCAAGCACTGGGCCTGAGTTCAAAATCCCAGTAGCAAGACAGATGGAAGGGAGGGTGGGAGAGAAGGAGGGAGGGAAGGAGGGAGAAAGGAAGGAAGGGAGGAAGGGAAAAATCTGAAAAGGCATGGTGTAGAATGTATAATCCCAGTACTCAGAAAGTGGAGGCTGTAAGAGCCCCTATCTAGGAGCTACTACCTCTAGGAGAGTCAAAGTTCAAAGCCAGCATATATTTTGGCAGGGAAGCTGAGGCCCCAGGAAGGTCAGAAGGAGAGTTAGTTGGGCTATATAGTGAAACCTCATCTGAAAGTAAATAAATAAATGATGATTTTAAAAATATCTGAAAAAAGGGCTGTGAAGGTGGCTTAGTGGTAGAGCACTTGTCTTGCATGCTCGAGGCCCTGGGTTCGATCCCTCAGTACCACATAAGAAAAAAGCCGGAAGTGGCGCTGTGGCTCAAGTGGTAGAGTGCTAGCCGTGAGCTGAAGAGCTGAGGGACAGCGCCCAGGCCCAGAGTTCAAGCCCACGACCGGACCCCCCAAAAAAAAAAATCTGAAAAAAAAAAAAAGAACCGACTGTAGGGGTTAGAGGTGTGGCTCAGTTTGAAAGAACACTAGCCAATGAATGAAAGTGGTAGGTACTAATTTCTAGTCCTATAGACCTAAAAAAAGAAAAAAAGAGAAAAAAGAAAAAATATCTGATGTCCAGACTTAGGTTCTATAAGGAAATATGTATTTTTTTAAACTTCTAGGGCTAAGCCGGACGCCATGGCTCACACCTGTAATCCTAGATATTCAGGAGGCTGAGATCTGAGGATCACAGTTCAAAGCCAGTCCAGGCAGGAAAGTCCGTGAGACTCTTATCTCCAATAAACCACTAGAAAACCGGAAGTGGTGTTGTGGCTGAAGTGGTAGAGTGCTCGCCTTGAGCTGAAGAGCTGAGGGATAGTGACCAAGCCCCATGACCGACAAAAAAAAGAAAAAGAAAAAGTCCGTGAGACTCTTATCTCCAATTAACCACCAGAAAACTGGAAGTGGCACTGTGGTTCAAGTGACAGAGCACTAGCCTTGAGTTGAAAGAGCTGAGGGACAGCACCCAGGCCCAGAGTTCAAGCCCCACCATGACAAAAAACAAACAATGAAGCAAAAAACAGCTCCTAAGGCTAGCCAAGTGCTGGTAGTTCACACCTGTAATCCTAGCTAGTCAGGAAGCTGAGATCTGAAGATTGCAGTTCAAAGCCAGCCCAGGCAGGAAACTCCAAGAGACCCTTATCTCCAATAAACTACTCAGAAAAGGCCAGAAGTAGTGCTGTGGCTCAAGTGATAGATTGATAGCCTTGAGCACAGAGACTCAGGGACAGCCCCAGGCCCTGAGTTCAAGCCCCAGGGCTGGGAAGGTGGCTCAGTGATAAGAGTGCTTGCCTTGCACTCATGAGGTCCTGGGTTTCAGTCCTCAGAATCACATAAGCAGAAAAAGCCAGAACTGGCGCTGTGGCTTAAGTGGTAGAGCACTCGCCTTGAGCTGAAGAGCTGAGGGACAGTGCCCAGCCCCAGAGTTCAGGCCCCATGATTGACTAAAAAAAAAAAAAAACAGGGCTGGGAATGTAGCTTAGTGGTAGAGTGCTTGCCTAGCATGCATGAAGCCCTGGGTTTGATTCCTCAGTACCACATAAACACAAAAAGCCAGAAGTGGTGCTATGGCTCAAGTGGTAGAAGTGCTAGCCTTGAGCAAAAGAAGCTCAGGGACAGTGCTCAGGCTCTGAGTTCAAGCCCCAGGACTGGCACACACACACAAAGAAAAAAAAAATACCAACACCAAACAAAACAAAAAACTCCTAAGGTTAATTCAATAGTCTGAATTTAAGAGATGTGAGAAGACAAACTGTACAAATGTAGTGAGAGTAACAAAATTTAGAAATATGCTCCTTTCTGGACATGGTGGTACATGCAGGTTATTCTCCAGCACTCAGGATACTGATGTGGGAGGATCGAGAGTTTGAGGCCACCCTCAGACACTCTGTGAGTTTCAAGCCTGTCTAGTATACACACACAGGACCTGGTGGTTTAGTGAATGTGAAATGTAAAGAAGAGAAAAGTAAATAATGTATTAACTGCTTTCTTGGGCAATCAAAGATATAGTTGCCACTAAAACATATAATATAAAACAGAAGGGTAAAAACAAGAGTTGTGGTTGTGGTGATGATGATATGATGTGGTATGTGTATATTTGGGAGAAAAAAAGATTGTGATCATGACAGTATTTAATTAGGAACTTACTTATCAATTGTTCTCTACTTATTTTGGGGAGCTGAGCATCTGTCTGCAAGTCACTGTCATCAAAGAACAAGGCAAGGCAACAGTGGCTCATGTCTGTAACCCTAGCTACTCAGGAGGCTGAGATGTGACGATCCTGGTTCAAAGCCAGCTTGGGTAAGAAAGTTCACGAGACTCTTATCTCCAAATAACCACCAGAAATCTGGAAGTTGAGCTGTGGCTCAAAATGCTAGAGTGCTAGTCTTAAGTGAAAAAGCTCAGAGACAGCACTCAGGCCCTGAATTCAAGCCTTACAACCTACAAAAACAAGAACAACAAAACAAACAAATAAAAAACCCAATCCTACTTTGCAAACTAACAAACTGAAGTTAGCTTGAATTCACACACAAGAGCCTCAATTCTAGGTCTGCATGACTTGAATCAACTCTATGGGAACTAGGAGGCACTAGTTAGGGAGTGAAAGTTATCAGGCAGGTAAAATCCTAGGAGTGACATGACTACCCAGGAAGAGAATACATACATAAAAAAAGTCATCCAAGGGGCTGGGAAGGTGGCTCAGTGGTAAAGCGCTTGCCTTGCATGCATGAGGCCCTGGGTTTGATTCCTCAGCACCACATATGCAAAAAGAAAAAAGCCGGAAGTGGTGCTGTGGCTCAAGTGGTAGAGTGCTAGCCTTGAGCTGAAGAGCTGAGGGACAGTGCCCAGGCCCAGAGTTCAGGCCCCATGACCGGAGCCCCCCCAAAAAAGTCATCCAAATACTTGGCTAATTTTTATAATGGCATAATGGCTCTTTCCCTCTCCTACAAAATGAATTCTTCATTTATGGGGAAAGGATCTCAGCCTTGTATCCCTAGAGTTTGTAGTACCTGGCACAAATGACCAGTCAATGAAAGTTTGCCAAATATTTAAAAATAAAACAAAGCTGGGCTCACAACCGTAATCCTTGCCACTCAGGAAGCTGAGATCTGAGGATCGAAGTTCAAAGCCAGACTGGGCAGAAAAGTCCTTGAGACATATGCATAACCACCAGAAAACCAGAAGTGGTGATGTGCTCAAGGCACTAGCCTTGAGCAGAAGAGCTCAGGGACTGAGCCCAGGCCCCTACAACTGACAAAATAAATCAAAGGTTTTCTTTTTCCTTCTTTACAGGCAATCTATGGGCGCTGGGAAGGTGGCTCAGTGGTAGAGTGCTTGCCTTGCATGCATGAGGGGCCCTTGGTTCTATTCCTCAGCACCACATAAGCAGAAAAAGCTGGAAGTAGGGCTGAGGCTCAAGTGGCAGAGTGCTGGTCTACAGCTGAAGAGCTGGGGGACAGCGCTCAGGCCCAAAGTTCAGGCCCCACAACCAACAACAACAAAAAAAGAGACAATCTACGTAGCCCAGTCTAGCCTTCAGCTAGGATCCTATGATCCTCCTGCCTCTACCTTGCAGGTGGCTGGGATTACAAATGTGCACATCATACCTGGCTAGCAGCCTTAATAAAGGATTATTGTAGTAGTCTTTTTTTTTGGCCTGGGGCTTGAACTCAGGGCCTGGGCACTGTCCTTGAGCTTTTATGCTCAAGATTAGCATTCTATCACTTAAGCCACATCTCCACTTCTGTCTTTTTATTGGTTAGTTGGAGATAAGAATCTCATGAACTTTTACGCTTGGACTGGTTTCAAACCACAGTCCTCATATCTGAGTCTTCTGAGTAGCTAGGATTACAAACACAGTCTTATTTATCTAAAGAAAATAGTAATGAAATGGCCAAAAATGTAGGTTGAGCCAGGGTCCAGACATTGAAAAACAAAGAAGAAAATCAAGATCTCTTATAATCTTTTCACTAAGAGAGATTTTTTTTTTATCAGTATTCATATTCTAATCTTTTTCCTAGGTAATAATAAACAGACATCTACAGCTCTATATCTAAGATTATGGTCATTCTAGGTATGATATATTAATTTTTCTTATAGCCTTTTATGTTCTTCAAAAATTTTGATATTAAGGACAATGAAATATCTATGGCTAAAGGGTCATTAACGTACTTTCCTATTACTGAATATTATTATTATTATTATTATTATTTTGGTGAGCTAGTCCTGGGGCTTGAATGTAGGCCTGGGCACTATATGTGAGATTTTTTTTTGCTAAATGACAGCATTTCTGCAAAATGCCCATTTTCATTTTAAAACAAAAAAAATTTATTTTTATAATGGAACTTACCTTCTTTCTTTTTCTGGAGGAATTCTTTGTGGGATCAGGCTTCTCAAATTCTGCTGACTTTGCTTCTTCTTTCTCCTCTTCTTCATCGGGGATGAGAGCATATTTGGTCCCCCCTGGCTGCATGAAACAATCCTTTGCAAAGTGGCCTGCAGAAGAGAGACAGAAAGGGTAGGAAAGGAGTAAGCAGTCCCTCCTTTCAGCAGGCGGGTCTTCCTCAGAGGCTCCCGACATGGCCAAGTGGCTCAGAAAATATTACTAAGTCTATTCAGAACAGATTTTCTGCCACCTCAAGATGGCACTACTCACTCAGCAGAGGCCGGGGAGCAGATGGTCTTAGAGCTGGTGGAGATATTGGTATTGCTTTAGAAATGGCAGAGAAGGAGAATGCAGACTGTGTTGTCCTCCATTAGCAATGGGATTTATTAATTTTTCGAGGTCTATTCTGGAACTCATTTCTGACAGTGAAAAGCTGCTCCAGAGAGCAGAATGCTTAGGCAAGGGGAGCTGAGTGGCAGGCCAAGTCCTAAAGGAAGATAGCTGGCAGGAAGTAGGCACTCACAGCCAAGCCAACATAGAGAGACAGGCAGTCACTGAGGGGCAATGAACATTCACAGATTGTCAGGTTTGGCAAGAGCCTGAGGAATCATGAGATCCAATATCAAGCAATTGCAGAGGATTCAAAGGAAATACCTCAAAGTCATATACAGTAACAGAGCTACTCATGGCAGATTTCATGCCTCCCTGTTCTGGGCTTTTTAGCTGCACCAATACCTTTGGTTCAACCTTTGTTGACTGGAACAAATTATTACTTTCCTCATTATTATTTTCTATATTCTTCTCCATCTCATATAGTGCCATGGGAGGCCCCTTTAACAGATGGCATTCCCTACACAGCTTCCCACAGATCCCATCTCAAGAGCAGATATAACTACATAACTAGAGAGCTAAGTGCAAGCTACTTTGCACCTGAGTCTAGAAGCTGAATGGCTCCAGGAGGACACTTCAGAGTTCTCCAAATACCTGGTATGCACCCATTCTTCCAAGGAGATATTCTTTCTTTCAGTTTTACTTTTCCCTTCTCCCTCTATGTTAATAATAAATAGGTTCTTAAAATCCCATAACGTCAGCCAGGGCACAAATCTGCCACAAGTCACTGCAGAAAAATGAACAGAGCAGGACAGATGGAAGGCTAGGGGGAAAGAGGTGACAAATTGAGGTCACTCTGAAAATGAGAAGCTGTCAACTCCTCTTATGGCTCCAACAAGGGAAGTCAGGCTGACAGAGCTTTTTAATATTTGAAAGACTAGAAGAAACCTGAGGAAAACAAGCTACAAGGAAGTCACTAGCCTGTATTGTTGTTAGTAACAGGCTTTTGTGTACCCAGAGGTTTGAAGTTAGAAAAAGATGCGGAAGACAGAGCTCAACTTGGATCCTCAAGGAATATAAGTCCAAGTCACAATTTTTACAGAACAGTAATTGTCCCTTGCGATAAAATTTAGAGTGTAGGAAGTGGAGTTGTGACTTAAGTGAAAAAGCTCAGGGATGGTGTCCAGGCCATGAGTTCCAGCCCCACTACTGACCAAACATAAAAATAAAATTAGAGTGTAAATCATAATCTAACACTCTTCCCTCTGTGGCATAGGACACAGGAACCTTACCCAGTCAGGGTAAGTGCAGAAAGCAGGGTGCAGCGCATGTGGGGGAGACAATGACAGTTGCTCAGGAATCTTGCAGGGCCAGCATTCAGGAAAGAAAACAGAAAACAGCTTCATATCACTCTCTGATATATAACAGCACCAGCAGGCGCCACTGTCAATTGACTAAAGAGGGAGACAGCCTAACCCTGAGCTATCTCTTCCATGAGGCAGGGTCCATCTATGGGGAGGGAAACACAGAAATGGCAGGCTTGTCCTTACCTTTACAGCCACACTTCTTGCAGGTAGTGTTCAGGACAGCCTCGAGGGTGATCTTCTGCCCTGTGTAATCCTGGAAGGACCGCCTCCGCCTCTCTTCTTGCCTGTAATGAAGAAAACATGACTGCTGACCCTCTTAAGGGATGTGGCCAGATACTACAAGGTAATGCTGTATGCTGGATTTTTTTAGGTTTTCTGTCCTGCTCTGTTCATTTTTCTTCCTGCTCTGTTCAACGTATTGGGTAGAATGAGCGAGGCTGAAAAATCAGTTGAGTCTAAATGTTCCCCATGTCAAGAGATTTTATTTTTTTTACATTTACTATTGTAATAAAACACATAAAAAAAACACATAGTACCTGAACTAAGGTACTCAAGTAGTTAATATGAAGAACATCATCCTAGATTACTTCCTTTTTCTAAACTCTAACTTACACATACCTTAATCCTGGCACACTTTGTACTTTTTATTTACAGTTTCATATATTTATGTTTCTTCTTTGGATGATGTTTTTACTTATGTTTTTAAGATACCGTCTCAATGTATAGCCTAGGCTGGCTTTGAACTTGTCATCTGCTAGCCTCAGCTTTCCAAGTGTTATTATGCCTAGTTCTGAATGGTGAGCTGTTTGGGTTACAATATCTTAACTGTGTTCATTCCCCACCTTAACCCAAGGTTCAAAACATTTTTTTCTCCCTCATTCCATTGCGTTCCGTTGCATTCCCTTCCCTTCCTTCTCTCTCTCTATCTTTCTTTCTCTCTCTCTGGTGCTAAGAATCAAACCCAAACATGGTCGAACATCATGTTCTATATCTATAATTTATATCCATAGTCAAAAAATATTCCTGTGTGTGTGTCTGTGTTTGTGTGCATGACTAGGATTTAACTCAGGGCTTTCCTGCTTCCTAGGCAGGTACCCTTCCACTTGAGCCACTCTGCTGTCCTCCAGATATCTTTTTTCACATGAATATCTAATGTTGGACTCTAGCTTCACCTAAGATTTTCAAACCCTTTATTTACTAGGTCTTTTTTTTTTTGGATCGGTCATGGGGCTTGAATTCTGGGTCTGGGCACTGTCCCTCAGCTCTTCAGCTCAAGGCCAGAGCTCTACCACTTGAGCCACAGCACCACTTCTGGTCTTCTGGTGGTTTACTGGAGATAAGAGTCTCACAGACTTTCCTGTCCAGGCTGACTTCGAACTGTGATCCTCAAATTTCAGCCTCCTGAGTTGCTAGGATTATAGGCGTAAGCCACCATGCCTGGCCTTACTAGGTCTTTATAATTCAGTAAAAATAGAGAAACATTACCCAGAGAAATGCAAGACAGCTATATCAAAGGAGATCATAAGTAATTAGTTCACATATTTTGGGCAACAGTTTCAAGTGTTGTGGGCTCAAATGGAGAGGACAAAGATCTTCCACATTCTGCCCCAACCACTGATCTTGGAACTTCTTTAAAGTTCACCTCTAACACCTCTTCTAGGTCTTCCTCTTCTCCTTCTTTTCTACCTCCTCTTTTTCCTCTTTTTTATTCTCCATTTCTTCTTCCTCCTCCCTTTCTCCTTCCTTGCTTGCTTGCTTATGAACAGGGTCTCACTATGTAGCCCAGACTAGTATCTGCAGAAGCTGGGGTTCATGTACTAACTTGGAACAGAACTAGGATTCTTTGTAATTAAGTCTTACTCTAAAACCTGCATTCATTTCACTATGTTGCAATGCTTTCCTGAATGCACCTACTGCCACGGTTTATGACAAAAGTCACTGCTTCAGTCACATTGCTGTAACTAGAAGCAGCCCACATGCCTGGTCACTTCTCAAACCAGAAGCCTTTCCCTCTCCCTACCCTATTTCTGAAAAGCAATTAGTTCATTATCTTGTTTTATATTTTATCATTGTTAAGCATGGTTCTGGGAAATTTCACTGCTTTTTGAATTAGTCTAAAGCAAACAGAATTCTTTGGAACAAAAGTAATTTATTATAATGTCATCAGTTTAGTGTCAGACCTAAATAACCTCTCCGAATTATGAGTTGTAAAAGATTTCCACTATAACTGAAAGTGTTTTGATAACAATAGGCCCTACAAATGTCAATATTTAGAGACTAAGGTACTACAGAATATGAAAAACTTTAAGTCACATGCAATAGTTAGAGGCATTTAGTGACAATAACGGCTTAACTTTAACACTAGATTCCCTACATAAACACAGGCTAGTTACTTATCATCAAGCAATGCTAGAAAATAGAAATACAAAGTAAAATGAAAATCACACCCACCCATGAGAATTGCATTCATTAAGGTATGTGAATTACCTTGAATGATGCCAGGCACTGTACATTTTTTTGATAAATAACACATCTTTTTCTTTCAGAAAAAAAATTCTTCATATCCAAAGTGATTTTGCTCAGGAATATAAAAGATCTGAAACTTTTTGAGCTAGGTACCAGTGGCTCACACCTGTAATTCTAGCAACTCAGGAGGCTGACATCTGAGTATCGCAGTTCAAAATCAGCCTAGGCAGGAAAGTCCATGAGACTCTTACCTCCATACAACCACCAGAAAAACAGAAGTGGCATTGCAACCCAAAGTGGTAGAGAGCTAGCCTTGCAAAAAAGCTCAAGACAGTACCCATGCCCTGAGTTCAAGCCACATGACCTACCCCCCAAAAAAAACTTCTTCAAACATGATTTCACTCAAATGTCATTTATTACTTTTTTGTTTTCATGGTTGTTGCTTGTTTACGAGTCTGGGTCTCACTATGTAGCACAATATAGACTCAAACTCACCTACTACTTCAGCCTCCTAAATCCTGGGATTACAGGCATATGTCACCAGATCCAGCTTTTCAAAATTTTTTATTAATTGCCGGGCACTGGTAACTTGTGCCTGTAATCCTAGCTACTCAAGTGGCTGAGGTCTGAGGATCAAAGTTCAAAGCCAGCCCAGGCAGGAAAGTCTACAAGACTCTTATCTCCAAAATTAACCACCAGATGGCTGGGAAGGTGGCTCAGTGGTAGAGCGCTTGCCTTGCATGCCTGAGGCCCTGGGTTTGATTCCCCAGCACCACATAAGCAAAAAAGAAAAAAAGCCAGAAGAGGAGCTGTGGCTCAAGTGGTAGAGCTGAAGAGCTGAGGGACAGCGCCTAGGCCCAGAGTTCAGGCCCCACAACTGGACCCAAAAAAAAAAAAATTAACCACCAGAAAACCAGAAGTGGCACTGTGGCTCAAGTGGTAGAGTGGTTACCTTGAGCTGAAGAGCTGAGGGAGAGTGCCCAGGCCCAGAGTTCAAGCCCCACAGCCAACCAAAAAAAAAAAAAAAAAAAAAATTAATGACCTAACTTCCACAGAGAGCATCAATTAGCATAAAAGAATAATATATTTCACTATTTAAGGCAACGAATAACATCACGATTAACCTAAGAATTAGTGTATGATTTTTTTTTTATTGGCTTTCTGGGATTCTTTTTTTTTGCTGGTCCTGGGCACTATCCCTGAATCTCTTTGTGCTCAAGGCTAGTGCTGTACCACTTAGCCAAAGAGCAACTTGGCTTATTGAAATAACAGAAAACAATTATTAAGCCCCTCAAGTTTCCTCAATGGCTGCACGCAGGCTCACTAGGAGAACTCCTACCTAGCAAGCATAAAGTCCTACACTGCTAAAGATTTCTCAAAGGATCTCAGGGATTCAAGAACCACTGGTTAAAATTTTAGGAAGTATTTGAAACAGAACATTTTCTGTGCCATTGTCATAGTTCAAAGAAAAACCTTCAACTCTTTTCAAAAAAGCCAATGAAAGAAAGGTGGTGTATTCAGAAGATGTGAGAATCTAAACACCACTGGAATTGCTCCAAGACTACCCCATTCTCCGACACGCTCTTTATGAGGCTTCAGAAAACACTAGGATAGGGCAAGTAGTGGTATTTCATGAATGCTTGCTGGTTAACAGATTAAAGAATAAAAGCAGAAAAAGACAGAGAAGGAAATAAAACAGTAATAGAGCCCTACTATGCTAAGAGATTTTCATCTTAGTATTTCATCTTAGAACTTGGTAAGTCAGGCCTGGTGGCACATGCTCACAGCACTCAGAGACTGAGGCAGGAAGATGTGGACTGTATAGGGAGACACTACCAAAAAATAAATAAATAAATAAAAATTCAGGGGCTGGGAGTGTGGCTTAGTGGTAGAATGCTTGCCTAGCATGCATGAAGCCCTGGGTTCGAATCCTCAGTACCATATACACAGAAAAAAGCTGGCAGTGGTGCTGTGGCTCAAAGGGCAGAGGGCTAGCCTTGAGCAAAAAGAAGCTCAGGGACAGTGCCTAGGCCCTGAGTTCAAGCCCCAGGCCTGGCAAAACAAAACAAAAAATTCAACATCAAGAAACAACTAATCAGGAGCCAGTGGCTCATGCTTCCTATAAACCCAGTGACTCAGGAGGCTGAGATCTGAGGATCATAGTTGGTTTGAAACTAGCCTGGGTAGGAAAGTCCGTGAGACTCTTACCTCCAATTACCACCAGAAAACCAGAAGTGGAGATGTGGCTCAAGGACAGCACCCAGGATGTGAGTTCAAGCCCCATGACTGATAAAAGAAAAGAAAAGAGCCAAAAAGAAAAGAAAAAACTCTAAGCCAGAGACCAGTAGCTCATGTCTGTAATCATAGCTACTCAGAGGCTGAGATTTGAGGATCAAGGATCAAAGCCAGCCCGATCAGGATAGTCTGTGAGATTCTTGTCTCCAAAGTAAACATCAAAAAGCCAGAAGTGGAATTGTAGCTCAAGTGGTAAAGTATTAGCCTTGAGCAAAAAAGCTCAGAAACAGCACCTAGGCCCTGAGTTCAAGCCCCAGGACTGGCACACACACACAAAAAGAAATAACTCCATAGTCATGTTATATATACTTCATATCCATAAAAACTAAAGACCACAAAAGTTGCATAACTCATCAACAACTAAATCAACAAATGGTGGAAGTTCCAGGTCAGCCTGAGTGGGACTGAAGCCTTTCCAAACCCTTTACCTACTCAATGATAACGTTGTTGGGATCAAGGTCTTTCCCAGTTCCTTGGTTGACAACTTTCATGGAGAGGGATACTTTTATCCTATCATTTTTCATCTGGGGGAAAAAAAAAGCAGAGTCATCAAATATTATAAGTATATAATTGAGACTGCTAACATACAATTTTCTGACTAGGGATCGGATTTCTCATCATCCTACAACGCTGAGCTCTTGTACTGGACAAAGTGCTATGCTAGGAACCGTGGGAGTACAAAGAAACCTAACAGGCAGACCTAATGGCAGAAATGTAGGAAATGATCTGTATCTCATCCTTGTCCTCTGCTCAGAAATCCAAGGCCCACCAGGAGAATCAGGCAGAAAATAAAAAATTCAGAGATCATAAACCCTGAATAGATCTTCAAATACCCTGAAGAGTAGATCTCCTTCTTGACTTGGTCTAGAACATCTTTAAACAAGGTGACACTTGCTACTCACCTTGGTCTTCTTCTGCTTCCTGGGACATATGAAGCCCTTCTTCACTTCAGAGTCTGCATCAGCTGTTCTCTTGGCCTAGAACATTCTTATCCCAACTCTTCATATGACTAAGTACTTTTCCTTTGGGTCTCATCTCCTCTGAGAGCCCCCTGATGACTATCTAAATCTACAATAAAGTTTGAACAGACTGCAATTGTTTTACACACACACATACACACATTTACTTTCAAAAATAGTCTGTCTCCTCCACTTACATTATATCTACGCTCCATAGTGGCTGGAATCATACATACCTAGCTCATATTTTTTTTTTGTTGGTCGTGGGGCTTGAACTCTGGGCTTGGGCACTGTCCTTGTGCTCTTCAGCTCAAGGCAAGCACTCTACCGCTTGAGCCACAGCACCACTTCCGGTTTTCTAGTGCTTTATTGGAGATAAGAGTCTCACGGAGTTTCCTGCCCGGGCTGGCTTTGAACTGTGATCCTCAGATCTCAGCCTCCTGAGTAGCCAGGATTACAGGCATGAGTCACCAGTGCCTGGCTACATTTTTTGTTTTGTGAGACATCTTACTATGTAACTAGGCTAATCTGGCACTCAAGATCATACCTTGATCTCCCACGTGTTAGGATTACAGGTGTGTGCTCGGCCCCTGGTTCTTTCTTGGCTCCCCCAAACCAAGCATATACTATACACTCATTCTCCATTGAATAGCTTTCAGGTCCCTCCTTCCAGGTGGAAGAACAGGATGAATGCAGGCTTGCATGCCTCCTGTGGTCTGTACACTCACAGCCCTATAACCTTCATCTGAGTTGCAATTCATGTTGTTCTCACTTCTACCATAGTAGAAGTACATGATAGATATTAGGAAAAACCACTACAGATTCTCTGTGCTTTTTTTTGTTCTGGCCAAAAATGAAATATACCTGACAGGTACCCTTTAAAGTTTATGAGGCTGGGAAGGCAGCTCAATGGTAGAGCGCTTGCCTTGCATGCATGAAGCCCTAGGTTCGATTCCTCAGCACCACATAAGCAGAAAAAAAAAAAGCCGAAGTGGCACTGTGGCTCAAGTGGTAGAGTGCTAGCCTTGAGCTGAAGAGCTGAGGGACAGTGCCCAGGCCCAGAGTTCAGGCCCCTGACTGGACCCAATAAATAAATAAATACATACATACATATATAAATAAAGTTTATGATAAAAAGACTTATCCTACAGATTGTCCTTCTCTCATTCTGGTCATTTTTTTCCTTTTTCCTTTCTTTCTTTCGTCCTTTCTTTCTTTCTTTCTTTCTCTTTTCTTCTTTCTCTGTGTGTGTGTGTGTGTGTGCACGTGCGTGTGCACTGGTGTGGGATTTGAACTCATGTCTCAGATTTCTGAATAGCTAGGAGTATAGGTATGAGCCCTATAATCTTCTTGGTTATAACTCCTTTTGGTTGTTTTTTTTCTACTCTTCTTATTCAACTCATGAGATAAACTACAGGGAAGAGAGCTTTACAAACAAGCACTTACTGCACCACTTTCACAGTTCATGTCATTCCTTCTGACTGCATGACAACCAGAGATGTTTTTCTTGTTTTTCACTCATTCAGTTGCTCATTCATTCACTCATTCATGCTGGTCCTTAGGCTTAAATTCATGGCCTCACACTCTCACTTGGCCTTTTTACTCAGACTGATCCTTTTTTTTTGCCAGTCCTGGGGCTTGAACTCAGAGCCTGGGCACTGTCCCTGAGCCTCTTTCAGTCAAGGCTAGTATCTACCACTTGAGCCAAAGCACTACTTCTGGCCTTTTCTGTGTATGTGATACTGAGGGCTTCATGCATGCTAAGCAAGCACTCTACCACTCTCCGAGCCCTAGACTAGCGAGGATTACAACATAAGCCATCAGCCAGATGGCCAGATATTTTTTATTACTACTTTTTTATTTTTGGTGGTACTGCGCTTTGAACTCAGGGAATTGTACTTGCTAGGCAGATACCATTTGAGCCAAACCTTCAGCTATTTTTGAGTGTGTATGTGTGTTGGTGTGTGTGTGCTGGTGTGTGTGTGTGTGTGTGTGTGTGATTCCATTGTGCTTAAGTGTCACTTTTTTTTTAACCTACTCATCTATTGTTGAGTTATTGTGAATAGTGCAGCAAAAAACATGGATGCACAAGTGTCTTTACTGTATCCTGACTTGTAATGTTCTGGGTAGAATCCCAAGAGTGGGTCATAGGGGAGTAGAATAGAGTCACAGGGGAGATTTATCTTTAGTTTTTTGAGGAACCACCAGACCACCTTCGAGAGTGGTTATACTAGGTTCCTTTTTCCCTACATCCCTGCCAACATTTATTGTTGTTTGAATTCTTAATGCTGGTCAGTCTAACTGGGGTAAGATGGAATCTTAAAGTTGTTTTGATTTGCATTTCCTTTATGGCTAGGGATGTTGAACATTTCCTCATGTGTTTGCCATTCTTACTTCTTCTGAGAAGTCTCTCTTTAGCGCCTTTCTTGATTGGTTTATTAGTTTTGAGGAGGGGGTTAGTTTCTTGAGCTCCTTGTATATTTTGACTACTAGGCCTTTATTAGATGTATTGCTGGTAAAGATCTTCTCCCAGTCTGTTGGCCATCTTTCTAGTTTAGTAACTATATCCTTTACTGTGTTGTGCCCTGGGACTCTTTTCAAAAAATTCCTGTCTATGCCTATAAGTTCTAATGTTTCTCCTACTCCATCTTAACAATAGTTTCAAAAGTTCAGGTCTGCATTGAGGTCTCTAATCCACTTTGAGATAATATTGGTGCATGGTGACAAACAGGGATCCACTTTTAGTTTTCTACATATGGATATCCAGTTTGCCCAACACCGATTATTGAAGAAGCTATCTTTTTTCTACTGTACATTTTTGGCCCCCTTGTCAAATATCAGATAATTATATGTATATGGCTTTATTTCTGGGTTTTAGTCTATTCCATTGATCTGCAGGCCTGTTTTTGTACAAGTACCAAATTGTTTTTGTTACTATAGCTCTGTAGTAAAGCCTGAGGTCTAGGATTGTGATACTACCAGCACTGCTTTCTTTGTATGTGTGCCTAAAATTGCTTTGTATACCCAGCTTTTTAATTGGCTGAGTCTGGGTGACACAATTTTTTTGTCTGAACTTCTCTTGGACCATGATCCTTCTGATCTCCACTTCTTTACTATGTAGGATCACAATGTGAGCCATTGCACCTGACTAGAAGATTTAAATTTAAGACAGATGATTATGACGGATTTAAAAATAATCAGCTAGAATTAACAACATATCATAAAATTCCAAGAAAGGCTCATCTTTCCCTATCTTTTTTCCTGCCCCCAGCCAGTCCTGGGGCCTGAACTCAGGGCCTGGGTACTGTCCATGAGCTATTTTTGCTCAAGGCTAAAATTCTACCACTTAAGCTACAGCTCCACTTCCAGCCTTTTCTGTTTATGTGTACTGAGGAATCAAACCTGGGGCTTCATGCATGCTAGGCAGCACTCTACCTCTAATCCACATTCCTAGCCTCCTAATCTTTTCTAACCCTATGAAATTGTATAGAATTTTACCTCTCGGCCAATAAGCTTCACCCACACTTTATCTCCAACATCTACTATCTCAGAGGGCTTATCAACCCGACAGGATGACATGTGAGTTCGATGAACCAGACCTGAGCACAGAAAAAAACAATAAAACAGAGGTCATTTCTGGTATACGTACACTAAATGATTGGGCTAGCAAAAGACATGCAAGATAAAAGGAAAATTTTTCACTTAAAAATATAATTAATTTAAAACTACAAACAGAAGTTTTGGTGTTTTGTTTTTGTTTTTTGTTTTTGTTTTTGTCAGCTGTGGGGCTTAAACTCTGGGCCTGGGTGCTGTCCCTCAGCTGTTCAGCTCAAGGCAAGCACTCTACCACTTGAGCCACAGCACCACTTCCAGTTTTCAGATGGTTTATTGGAGATAAATCTTACAGACTTCCCTGCCCAGGTTGGCTTTGAACCGCAATCTGCAGATCTCAGCCTCCTGAGTAGCTAGGATTATAGGCATGAGCCACTGGTACCCAGCAATTTTTGTTTTCTTTTGGTGCTGGTACTGAGGCTTGAACTCAGGGCCTAGATACTGCTCCTTAACATTTTTGCTTATGGCTGGCACTCTACCACCTGAGCTATAGCTCCACTTCTAGGTTTTTGCTGGTTAACTGAAGAATCTCACAGACTTGTCCTGCTTAGCTTGGCTCCAAACTTCAATCCTCATATCTCAACGTCCTGAATAGCTATGATTACAGGCATGAACCACCAGCATCCTGCATGATGTACTATTTAAAATATACTAAATTAGTAAAATATGTAAAAATAACTAATTAATGCTGCAAAAGCACAGTAACATAATAAATAATAAATACTTCTAATAAATAATAAATACTTCTAATATTATCTAATATGACTTAGCAATGACTATCAAGAACGGCACGTCTAATTAGGTGTTGGTGGTTCACATCAATAATTTTAGCTACTTAGGAGGCTGAGAACAAGAACATCATAGTTTAAGGCCAGCTTGTGCAGAAAAGTCCATAAGATCCCTTCTCAATCCATTGCTGGGCACAGAAGTATGTGTCTGTCACTCTAGAGGACAAGAGAGGCTAAGAATAGCTTTCAGGCCATCCTAGGCAAGACTGTCTCAATCGAAGTAGCTAAGCATGGTGGTTCACAGTCTATAGTAGGTGGATGGAGGTTCGGACATACACCTACACAGAAAGCAAGACTCTACAAAATAATCAGTGCAAAAAAGGTTTGGAGGCATGATTCAGAAGTAGAGAAAGTGCTTAGCAAGTTCAAACCCCATACTGTGAAAAAGAAAAAGAAAAGGCTAGATTCAGAACTATAGCTTAGCAACAGAGCACTTTCAAGCATTTGTGTGAATTTCCACCACCAGAAAAATAAAATAAATCATGCTTAGCAAATAAATGAATCTAGTCTCAGACTTGACATTTAATATCTTGACTTGGACAAGTTACTTATTTGTTTTGTCAGTTTTGGGGCTTGAATTCAGGGCCTGGGCACTATCCTAAGCATTTTTGCTCAAGGCTAGTGCTCTACCAATTTGAGCCATTATGCCACTTTTGGTTTACTGGAGATTAGAGTCTCATAGACTTTCCTGCCCAGGCTGGCAATAAATCTTGGAGTCACCAGCTCCTTGCTTGACTTTTTATTTCTGAATTTCAATTTGAAAAGGAAACCAGAAGAAGGAGCTCAGTAATTATTTACTAAACTGAATTCACTACTAAATATGATCTTCCATCATAAGCAAGGAAGGCTAAATGCTACACTGAATAATATCTATCTGCTATTAAAACTTCATATTTAGCCTGGCGCTGGTGGCGCATGCCTGTAATCCAAGCTACTCAGGAGGCTGAGATCTGAGGATCATGGTTCAAAGGCAGCCTGGGCAGCAAAGTCTGTGAAACTCTTATCTCCAAAAAAAAAAAACACTAGAAAACCACAAAGTGGCACTGTGGCTCAAGTGGTTGAGCTGAAGAGCTGAGGGACAGCTCCCAGGCCCAGAATTCAAGGCCCATAACTGACAAAAAAAAAAATTCATATTTATACATACATGAAAATGAAACTAGGAAATGAGAAGACGGGTAAAGGGTGGGATATACTGGAGTGGTGACACTGATCAAGATGCCTGCACACATAAATGAACATGTTAAACCAAAACACTTTATACGACTATGTGAAGAAAATCATAAAGGAAGAGGGCTAGGCACCAGTACCAGTGGCCAGCCAATGCAAAACTCAATACCTTATCTCAAACATAACTAAAGAAAAAAGGGCTGGAGATGTGGTTGAAGCTGTAGAGTACCTGCCTAGCAAGGTGCTAAGTTCAAATCCCAGTACTGGCAGAAAGGAAGGGAGGGAGGGAGGGAGGGAGGGAGGATTGGCTAATGTCCGAAAATAAATCAGTCTTTATAGAACATGTAGATCATCACAGAAAATTCTGCATGAGAAGTATTTAATTTTTTTTTTGGTCAGTCATGGGGCTTGAACACAAGGCCTAGGCCTGTCCCTGAGCCTTTTTGCTCAAGGACAGCACTTTACTACTTTGAGCTCCACTTCCAATTTTGGGTTGGTTAATTGGAGATTATAGAGTTTTATGGACTTTTCCTGCCTGGTCTGGCTTTGAAGTACAATGCTCTGATCTCAGCCTCCCTAGTAGCTGAGATTATATGCATGAGTCACCAGTACCAAGGTATGAAAAATAATTCATATGCACCTATGGATATGTCAAAATGAAACCCCCTGTACAACCGAGGCTAATAAATGTGGAAGGAAACACTATGAGAAAGGAAAGAAAACCTAATTTAGATTTGAATACTAGTAAGGAGTCTTCAGCTCAGTAGTAGTTAAAAAATTATGATAATAGAAGTTTGGTTGGGGAGGGTGAGAGGAATACAGAAGTGGTAGAATGAAGAGTGAACTAATGCAGCAGTGATACTCACTAGACACTATGTTGAAAGTGAGCTATACAATTTGTGGAGGAAGGAGGTTGGAAGGGAAAAACCAGTCTGGCTTTGCTACTAGAACAGCTACTAGCTGAAATAAAATATGAGATAAGGAAGTATGTGGAATGAGGGAAGAGGTGACACTGTTCAAAAAGAAATGTACTCATTACCTGACTTATGTAACTATAACCACTCTATACATCACCTTTACAATAAAAATAAATTTTTAAAGAAAAAGAGGTTTGGGAAACTAATTCAAATTCAAATCTACCGTCCTGAATCAAAGATGTTATGTTCTGATCAGAGGACAGTTATTTTATTGCTCAATCCTTCCTACGTAAAAATATGATCTTTCCATTCAGAAAAGCTAAGATTCGCTGTAAGGAAATTCAAATTATTGTCCAAAAAAAACCTATGAAAGATGCCATGATTAGAATTCACATGTCCTACCTAACTACCTACATCCCTAAGCTCAACTCTCTCCCTTGAAGGCTTGTCTCAGCATAGCTGTCAGGCTGGCAGATTTACCTATAAGCTGTCAGCCACAATCAGAGGCATTATCAGATGGGTTTTTTAGATAGTTTTTTTTTTTTTTTGTCGGTCATGGGGCTTGAACTCTCCAAGCCAGAAAGCACCATCCTCTCCGGGAATGTAGCTCAGTAGTAGAGTACTTGCCTAGCATGTGCAAAGCCTTGGGATTTAATACTTAGCACTGCCAACAAAACAAAACAAACCAACAAAATAAGAGTGTCATTCTTCTGAGATAAGACCTGCTAAATGGGATAGGGATGTAGCTCAGCCACAGAGCATGGGCTGAGTATGCAAAAGCCCTGGGATCTACCCCAGCATACACATGTAAAGGGCCTACTAAAAATGAACTGTCTGGTTGCTGTTTTTGTTTTCTTTTCTTTTTGTCTTGTTTGTCTTATCTGTCTTTGGGAGGGTAAGCAGGGACACAGAAATAGAAGGACACACAGTGAACAAATGCAACAGTGGTACTCACTAGACACTATGCTGAAAATGAATTAAACAACTTGGAAAAACTGGGAGAGTACAAGGGAAGGGATGACATTGTCCAAAAAGAAATGTACTCATTACCTGACTTACGTAGCTGTAACCCTCCCATATATCACCTTTATAATAACAATAAAAAATAATTTAAAAAAAATGAACTGTTGACGCTTTTTTTGTATTTAAGCCACTACACTAAAAAACAAAACAGCAACTAGAAAATAAGACAAAACTGTATGAAAAGTATGGAGAGTAAAATGGGAGGGCTGAATTTCTACCTTGCTTCCGACATCCTGGGATTTTGATAAAGGCTCCATAGTCTGTCACCATAGCAACCTACAAAGATTGAAAAAAATCTATGTCATACAAATTAATATTTTTCTTCTAAACCATTTAAGCTAGTTTCTCTGAATTTCTATTTGGTTCTGACCACTGCTACAAAACTGCCTGAAAGTTATCTGTTAAACATTCTTTCTGTTCTTGTTAAATTTTAGACTGATAAGTATATGTGCATACACATTAAAAACACTGGAGGAATTAGGAAAGTTATCACAGAATAGGTATAATAGGAACCTAGGGTTGCCCAAATCTTATGTGTACTGAAATCACCAAGAGTCTCATAAACAAAAGGAGCAAACAACAAACACCAGGTTTAGATAAATTGACTTTATATCTACTGAGACTGAAGCCTCAAACCTCAATACAGAGAACTCTAACAGCCTGGGATGGACCAAGAAGGATAGCCATTTTTCTTAAACTTCACAGCTGTTGTACTTCAACCCAAATCTGAGCTGTGGGGTTTATCAGTATAATTAGAGAAGAAGTCAATACACAGACAATCTGGCAGAACTTAAAGAGATGTAATAAGAAAGAAAAGGAGTTGTCCTTAGGTCCTATGTGGAGCTGAGTGGATTTGTGTAATGAACAACCAATAAATGTTTGTAAGGAAAGGCGCAGAACCACTGATAGACAAATGATTATCCCAGGTTTTCTCTTTCTCCTCTCAATCTTCTAGTCCACTACCATGTGGATTGGATTCATTTTATCATTCCATACTGTATTTATCACTAAATTCATTATTACTTATAAAAATATTCAATACAGGGGCTGGGAAGATGGCTCAGAGGTAGAGCGCTTGTCTTGCATGCCTGAGGCCCTGGGTTCGATTCCTCAGCACCACATAAGCAAAGAGAAAAAAATACAAAATAAAGATGACATTATTAAAAAAAAAAAATTCAATACAGGGCTGGGAAGGTGGCTCAGTGGTAGAGCGCTTGCTTTGCATGCATGGGGCCCTGGGTTCGATTCCTCAGCACCACATAAGCAAAAAGAAAAAGCTGAAAGTGGCACTGTGGTTCAAGTAGTAGAGCACTAGCCTTGAGCTGAAGAGCTTAGGGACAGCGCCCAGGCCCAGAGTTCAGGCCCCAGACCCAGAGTTCAGGCCCCAGACCCTCCCCCCAAAAAAAAATAAAATAAAAAATATTCAATACAACCTATGCATTAAAACTTTATTCCTGCCGGGTGCCGGTGGCTCACACCTGTAATCTTAGCTACTCAGGAGGCTGAGATCTGAGAATCCAGGTTCAAAGCCAGCCTGGGCAGGAAACTCCATGAGACTCTTATCTCCAATAAACCACTAGAAAATGAAAAGTGGCGCTGTGGCTCAAGCGGTAGAGCGCTCGCCCTGAGCTGAAGAGCTGAGGAACAGCACCCAGGCCCAGAGTTCAAGTCCCACAACCGACCAAAAAAAAACAAACAAACAAAAAACTTTATTCCTGCTGGGTGCTGGTGGCTCATGCCTGTAATCCTAGCTACTCAGGAGGCTGAGATCTGAGGACCATGGTTCAAAGCCAGCCTGGGCAGGAAAGTCTTGGTGAGACTCATATCTTCAATTTAAGCACCAAAAAAAACAGAAGTGGAGCTATGGCTCAAAGTGGTAGAGTGCTAGCCTTGAGCAAAAGAGCTCAGGGACAGCACCTAGTTCCTGAGTTCAAGCCTCATGATCAACAACAACAACAACAAAAAAAAAAACCTTTATTCCTTTCAGTGCTTTTAGTTGCTTGATCTTGAGCAATTATTGTGTTAGCTTCACATAACTAAAACAATAACTGTATACAATAACACATAACTAAAACTAAGACAATCCCTGCTGTACAGCTAACATGTATCATAGTCACTATATAAAAAACACTATTTAAATCCTTATGATTGCATAAGTTGGAACTATGAATTGTACTCAACAGATAATAACTAATGGGTGGAGAAATGAAATAATTTTACTGAAAGCCAAAGCTAGTAGGTAACAGAACTAGAATTTGAATTACAAGTCCTATATTAGAGCCGTTCTTTGGGTTCCTTTTTTGTTGGTGGTGGTGGTGGTCATGGGGCTGTCCCTGAGCTTCTGCTCAAGGCTAGCACTCTACCACTTGAGCCACAGCACCACTTCCGGTTTTCTTTTTTTTTTTTGCGGTAAGAATCTCACAGACTTTCTTGCCCAGGCTGGCTTCGAACCATGACCCTAAGATCTCAACCTCCTGAGTAGCCATGATTACAGGCGTGAGCCACTGGCACCTGGCTTTGGATTCTCTTTAAAGACAAAATTCTAATGGCTGAAGCAATGTAGCATTTGATAACTGGTCTCCTCCTGACAACAATCTAGAACGAGGTCACAAAAATACATGACAGGACCGTGTGTGTTACAGATGAGGCAGAATAGTTTATGTGTAGAAAGAGCACAGGCTTTGGAGTGAAAGATGTGGCTCCTTGCTGTGCCATTTCCTACCTATGAGATATTGGACACAACTTGCCTTTCAAGGCCCAAGGTCCCATTTATGTTTATTTTGCTGCCACAGATAACAAAAGATACATACAAACTGATATATGGCACATGATATACATACATTTATTTATATCCACATAATAACTTACAGTCTAAAACACTAAATCACAAAAAGATTAGCAAGTGGTAGAAAAGGACACAACTTTAGATAAAAGTTAGGAACACAACCTGGGTCCTCGAAGTTCTCATTTCACCAAATATCAATAATATTCATTTCAGGAAAAGATGGAAACTAAATTAAAAAACAACAACAAAAACAAAAACAAAACCTTTCAGTGGGGTATCAGTGGCTCACACCTGTATTCCTAGCTACTCAGGAGCCTGAGATCTGAGGATCAGTTTGAAGCCACCCAGGCAAGAAAGTCCTTGAGACTTTTTTTTGTCAGTCATGGGGCTTGAACTTAGGTGCTCTGTCTTGAGCTTTTGTGCTCTACCACTCTGGGACACAGTTTTGGAGTGGTTAATTGTAGATAAGAATCTCAGACTGGGGAAGGGCATGCCCCAAGGTGACCTTTCTCATCCCATGTCCTAAACCCCAATAAAGACAAATTAACAACAACAACAAAAAAAGAATCTCAGACTTTTCTGCCTGGGCTGGCTTCAACCCAGGATCCTCAACCTCCTGAGTAGCTAGGATTACAGGTGTGAACCACTAGCATCCAGCTCTCTACAGACTCTTTTATTTCTAAATTAATCACCAAAAAAGCTAGAGTGGAGTTGTGGCTCAAGGGGTAGAGCCCTAGCCTTGAGCAAAAAAGCTCAGAGACAGCTCCTGAGTTCAAGCCCCAGAACCAGGAAAACAAATTTTAAAAAAACAACAAAAAACTTTCATTCTCTGAATTGGAAGTATGTCTCAAATGGCTCTCTGCCAAATGCATGGCCCTGAGTTCCAACCCCAGCTCCAAAACACAAAGAAAGCGCTTTCATTTTCCTCATTTTTATTTTGCTTGCTTGTTTTTGCCAGTATTAGGACTTGAACTCAAGACCTAGTGCTTATTCAGCTTTTTTAGCCAGGTGCCAGTGGCTCATGCCTGTAATCCTAGCTACACAGGAGGCTGAGACCTGAGGATTGTGGTTCTAAAGCCAGCCCAGGCAGGAAAGTCCGTGAGACTCTAATCTCCAATAAACCACTAGAAAACCAGAAGTGGTGCTGTGGCTCAAGTGGTAAGAGTGCTCACCTTGAACTGCAGAGCTGAGGGACAGCACCCAGGTCCAGAATTCAAGCCCCATGACCGACAAAAAACAAAACGAAACGGAAAGAAAAGAAAAAGACCTAGTGCTTATTCAGCTTTTTTGCTCATAGCTGGTTCTCTACTATTTGAGCTGCTCCCTAACCCCTATTTTAATGGAGATATTTGGTTAGAGAATACAAACTGATTCCAAGACACAGTATAAAGAACAAGTTATAACCCAAAAGCTCTAAACTCCTGTTTCCCACAAGAAACAAGCTGTGATGTAAGGACCAGATAGTGCAGAGGACACAACACAGCACAATTATGCTGATAGTTACTATGTAGGCAAGGGAGAGCCGGAGGAAGGACTTTAGAGATTAGCTCCTCCAATCCTGTCATTTTTCAAATGAGGAGTATACAAACACAAAGTGCTTACACAAGTTCACTGAACAATCTATTCTGTATGAAAATGGGCCCAAGGTGAAGAACTTAAAAGTCTTTCCATTTTTGAGAAAAATAAGAGCACATTCCAAAAAATAAGAGCACATGCCAAAGGCACTCTAACTGGTTTTGCTTCATTATTCTAGAAAAAAGGCTAAGAAGTCTCATGTTGTATAACATTATTAAGAAGTGTAATTATCTAACACACTTAACAGTAGCAGCTGGAAGTTAAAGAGCCCAAATCACCTTGCTGCTGTAAATTAAGACAACCTCACTTTTCAATCTTGAAGCTCCAGAGTCACATCTCAGTCTTTAGGGGTAATAACAGACCTTAATTTGGTCTCTCCCAAAAGGAAAGGTTAAGGTGCTTCAGAAGAGATGGGCTCCATTGCTCAGTTAGGAAGGCCTTCCTGCCTTCTCCCAGTACCAAGTATTTATTTCTATTGCTATGTCTCCCAGGGTGCAGTCAGAGTAAAACTAAAAAGATGGCATCTACCTTAGGTGCTCACACAGTCTGTCTGGAGTCCCAAGGGTAATTACTCAAATGGCTCAGGGAGGGGAAATTTAGTAATTATGTCAACTGAATTCAGGCCTCAGGTAAAATTAATTTCTTATCTTCAGATTAGAGTTGGCACTGGCCTTGAAACTTGTTCTCTCCATAATATAAAAGATGAATTTGAGGCTGAGAGTTATCTGTCACAAAGTTAGAAAGTAGCACAGCCAGAGACTGGACATAGTAGTACACATCTATAATCTCAGTACTAGGAGGCTGAGACAGAAGGATCACAAATTTAAGGCCAGATAGGACTACATAGTGAGACCCTACCTCATGAGATAGATAAGTAGATAGGCAGACAGACAGACAGAGAAAATAAAAAAGAAAGCGGTATAGCCAGGCATAGGGCAGAAAGTTTCTTTTTTACTGATGGTACTGGGGCCTGAACTCAGTATCTTATATTCTTGCTTGCTTTTTTCACTCATGGTTGACACACTACCACTTTTTGCTGGGTCAATCAGAGAGAAGAGACTCTTGGATTTATCTGCCCAGACTGGCTCCAGACCAAGATTTTCAGATCTCAAGCCTCCAGAACAGCTTGGATTATACGCATCAGCCACTAGAGCACCAACTGTAAATTCATATATTCACTCATATCTGAATGCAATCAACTTTTTTTTTTTTTTTTTTTTGGTTAGTCATGGCGCCTGAACTCTGGGCTTGGGTGCTGTCCCTGTGCTCTTCAGCTCAAGCACTCTACCACTTGAGCTACAGTGCCACTTCCAGTTTTCTAGTGGTTTATTGGAGATAAGAGTCTCACGGACTTTCCTGCCCAGGCTGGCTTTGACAGCAATCCTCAGATCTCAGCCTCCTGAGCAGCTAGGAGTATAGGAGTGAGCCACTGGCACCTGGCACCCGGCACAATCAACTTCTTTGACCCTCACTTTTTCATGTTTCTGGTCCTCACTTTCTGGTGACTAGAGGGAACAAGTGCCTTAGTTGATTCCTATCCCTATTAAAAAATAAAATCTAGATAGTGTATCATAGAAATTTATTTCTCACTGGATATGGTTGCTTACTCTGAAATCGTAGCTACTAACGAGGCAAGGATCAGGAGGATTGTGGTCCAAGGCCAGTCCAGGCAAAAAGTTCAAAAGATCTCATCTCAACCAATGAAAGTCTAGTACAGTGGTGTGTGCCTATTTTACCAACTATGTGGGAAAAAAATAAACAGGAGAATTGTGGTCCAGGCTACCCCATAAATAAATGTGACACAGTAGTAGAAAAACAAAAGTGACCTACCTAGCAAACATAAAAACATGAGTTCAAATCCCAGTACTAACCAAAAAGAGACAGAGACAGAGAGAGACAGAAAGGGACAAAAAAAGAGAGAGAAATATTTTTCTTCCATTTTTGGAGGCTAGGAAATTTCCAATCAAGTCTGATAAGGGTACCCACACTCTGCTTCCAAAATGGCTCCTTGTTGCTGCATCTTTCAGAATGAAGGAATGTCATATCCTCACTAGGTGAAAGGGAGAGATGGGCCAGGCAACTCCCTGATTCCCTTTTTAAGACAGTGATCTCATTTACAAGGTAGTTAGGATGGCTGTACTCCCAAATTTACACTGAAACTTGGTCCTTAATCAACAGATTTAAGAGGAAGGGCCTTTAGGAGATGTATTCAGTTAGCTTCCCACTGCCTGAACAAAACACCTGAGATAAGCAACTTAAAGGAAGAAAAAATTTCTTTTTCCTGTTTCCATGGTTATTTGGCCAGTTCACTTTGAACATTTGGCAGGGCCAGCATCTTGGCAGGAACATGTGGTAAAACATAGCTGTTTACCTCATAGAACTGGGAAGCAAAGTCAGAAAGAAAGGGGCCAGGGGCAATATATAGTTCTCAAGGGCACCCCTAAAGGAACCATTCCTTTCAGCTGGGTCCCACCTCCTAAGTTTCTAACTCATCAAATTATGAACCCATCACTTCCTAAAGCCCTGCCTTGAATATTGATGCCCTGGGAATCAAGCCTCAACACAGAAGCTTTTAGGGGACATTTCAGCTATTAACCACAATAGGAGGCTACAGGATCATGAGACTCTGCCCGTGTGAATTAATCAGTGCCTTATTAAGGGCTTGGGGAGGCAAATTAATCCCTCTGCCAAGTGAGGACCCAGTGTTTATCTTCTAGAAGATGCAGCAATAGGCAAGTCAGGGAAGCAGAGAGCAGCCCCTACCACATACCAAATCTGTTAGCATCTTGGTTCTGGACTTCCCAGCCTCCAAAGTATGAGACATAAGGTTTTGTTCTTATAATCTACCCAATCTAGAAATTTTGTTATATTGCATAAATGGACTAAGCCAAACAGAATATCCAAAGGTCCTAGGGGGGAAAAAAAAGCCAACCTGGAATGTGTAGAGTTCTAAAGAAGCTAGCATGTCTGGAGCATGAGCAAGGTAGAAAGACAACTGTAAAAGTAAGTAGAGGCAAAGTAATGGAAGGCTCATGAAAATGAGTTTGTAAGCCAGGTGCCAATGGCTCATGTCTGTAATCCTAGCTATTCAGGAGGCTGAGATCTGAGGATTGTGGTTCAAAGCCAGCCCGGGCAGGAAAGTCCATGAGACTCTTATCCCCAATAAACCACTGAGAAAACCAGAAGTGGTACCGTGGCTCAAGTGGTAGAGCACTAGCCTTGAGCTGAAGAGCTGAGGGACAGCGTTCAGGCCCAGAGCTCAAGGCCCCATGACCGACCAAAAAAAAAAAAAAAAAAGAGTTTGTATTCAAGTAAAATGAGAGTATGAAGAGCTGAGACAAAGAGGGTGCCAATCAATTTTATGGACCGATGGATGCACTATAGTATTAAGAATCAAAACCATCAGAGCACCAGTGGCTCACATCTGTCATCCTAGCTATTCAGGAGGCTGAGATAAAAGCACTAGCTTTCAGCACAAAGCTCAAGGAAAATGCCCAGCCCAGGAACTGAGGTCAAGACTCAGGACTGGCAAAAAAAAAAAAAAGGCACAGATTTCTAGCTTGAGTACTTGAATCAAGGATAAAAGTTCCAATTGCTAAAATAGAAATGACTAGTGAAAACATTTAAGAAATCAGTTTCAAAGGTAAGTTAGAGATGCTATGAGACAGACAAATGAAGATGACAAGTATGCAGTTAGGTGTCTACAGCTTAGTGCATCATCAGATAGAGGCTCTGCTGGTCCATACAATTTACACTATAATGCTCAAGTCTCAGATTGGACAGCAGGATTAAACCCAGATGCTTTGTACTCTCAATCTATTCTTTTTTCTTTTCTTCTCTTTTTCTTTTCCTTTACCTTCTACCTATTCTTAATAGCCTATAAATAAGATGTTTTCAAAGACCAAAATAATATACCTCTCCTTGGAAAATCGTGTAGAGTGCAGGCAAGTTTTCCATGGTCTCAGGTCTCCCTGAATTCATCCTTAAGGTTCTATGGCTCCTCCATTTCTCTTCTGCAAAAGCTAATATTAGTGTCCTGCCACAAAAAACATAAGCAACAATTAGAGGGACATCTGTACTAGAGAAGAAATGAATGGGATTTTGGAAGTAGCTCAGAGACTGAGCCCTAGCCTAGCATGCTGCCTAAAGCCCTAAGGTAAGCCCCATAACCACAAAAAAAAAAAAAAAAAGGAAAACAGTCTACAGTTAAGTTCTACAAAATTATACCATTAGATTGACTATCTCATACTTTCATCAAAATCCCTTTTGTCATTCTAATCCTAGGGAGTTTTGGAAACTTGTTGTTACTGGAATATGAACTCAGGATGCTGTTATCACCTAAACATACTCCCAACCCAGTTTTAGATACCTTGATCTCATTTCTTTTCAATTTGTTACTGATCCAAAGCTATTAGACTATTGGGGTTTTTTGTGTTGTTGTTTTGTTATGTTTTGTTTTTTGAGATGGATCTAACTACACTGCCCTCGCTGGCCCTGCTCTTCCACTAATTAATGGGCTCAAACAATCCTTCTGCCTCAGCTTCCTGGGTAAATAGCTGGTACTACAAGCATGTGCTACCACTCCTGGCTAGTTTTTGGTTCTTTATATTGCTGCTGTTGCTACTCTTTTACCAGGGATACACTTCTGGAAGTGTGGGGAGTATGTGTGCCTGGATCTCAAACAATATTACTAAGAATTAACATTTACACTTACTATGTGTAGCTACTATGCTAAACAACAGACATTCAATAACTCATTTAATTATCAAAGTTGTCACGATGGGCTGGGAAGGTGGCTCAGTGGTAGAGTGCTTGCCTTGCATGCATGAGGCCCTGGGTTCGATTCCTCAACACCACATAAGCGGAAAAGGCCAGGAGTGGCGTAGTGGCTCAAGTGGTAGAGCGCTAGCCTTGAGCTGAAGAGCTGAGGGACAGCGCCCAGACCCATGACCAACCATGAATCCGCTGAGATGGAGGTAGGGGTTCCCAACAGGTCCCCTCTTCACTCTGCACAATAAATAGTAGGTGGAAGACTGGAAGAGTGAAGGCTTGGTACACAAGTATGAGCCTCCAATTTCTCAGCCAAACTATGCCCTGGATCAGCCAATCATTCTGCTCTATCACTGTTTCTCTGGGACGGTGGGGGAGCACAGATGAGGCCCTAATAAAAGATAGCAGAAAGCAGAATTAGGGGACAGAATCCGGCGGGCCTCTTCAACTAAACGCAGCACCTAAAGGGGCTGGCGGGGGGCTGGGGTGGGGGCAGGCTTGTCTCCCTGCGAACGCCAGGCACAGGACTGGGTATGGAGGGCGGCTGCTGAAGAGAGGCACCGGTCCCGCAAGGGCCAGCAGCCGCGGGGTCGGAGACCCCCGAAGCTCTTCCGGCCGGCGGGCCGAGCTGGAAGCGAAGGGGCCGGTCTCCCGCTCCTTGCTGTCCCGGCCTTCAGAACAGTGCCTGAGAAGAACTACAGGGCCTGAGAACGACAGGCTCGGGCTACACCACGGAGCCGTCGCAGCCACGTCCGAGCACCCACCTCCCCGCCGCGCTTTCCCCCTCACTCACTGACTCAGCGACCGCTCCAAGCCCTGGAGTCGTGAAGCCGCTCGGAACGCCAAGCCCACACGGCTCTTTCCCACCCACAAGACACAGCGCGCCTAGGAGGGACGCCAACTCCAGCCACCAATCGCGGAACCGCTCTCTCGTGACGTCAGAAATAACTAACCAATACTACGAGATTATCCAGATGGGCGTTACAGGGGGATTTTAAATAGCCCATTGGTTGGTTTGAGCCGGAACTTCTCTTGGAAGGATTGAGTTGTAGCCAATCGCGTGGAGCCGGTGGCCGTCGGCGCGGTCACTGGCGGCGTCGAGGAGACCTGGTTACCGCCATGATAGAACAGCAGAAGCGTAAAGGCCCGGAGTTGCCGCTGGTCCCGATCAAGCGGCCACGGCATGAGTTGCTTTTGGGAGCGGCGGGGTCGGTCCCCGGAGCCGGACAGCAGCAGGCGACGCCTGGGGCTTTGCTGCAAGCGGTGAGTAAAGAGGCCTGTGGCCCCCGCCCTCCGCGCGTGGGTCTGTTCTGAGCGCTGGTCGGAGGGGTCCCGATCCTGCACTGCGGAGACAGAACGGAAGGGTACCTAAAATTAAAACAGGTGCACTGTGAAAGTCTCCAGTGTCTATTGTTTCTTACGTGTCCTTGTTTAACGCCCATTTTCAGTCTTCGATCGCCCTGTGAGGTAGCATTAGAATTACTTTAAAATCTTGGGTTCAGTATCAGGACCTCGGGGAGAATGCACTCATAAGGTTCAATACATAGCCTGTGAAACCAAGAGAATTGAAGGGAGGGGTAGGCATAGGAGGGATGTTGCAGAATGATGGAAGAGCTGACATTGATCGAGAGGCCTTGTACTTAAAAACTGACATGGCGAATGGTAACTTTTTGTACCACTACTTACAGCTAGTAATGAAAAAAAAAAATCCTAAATTTTCATGGGATCCAGCGTAAAACAAATATTAACAATTTGAATGAATGAGGGAGAGAGGTGGCGAAGCAAGACCGGAAATGAATGATACTGGCTTACCTTGGGCATGTGGACAAGTTGCTTTTCCCGTTATTTCTCCCTACATTTATCTTAACAGCAACTAACCTTCATTGACTCTTGTGTATGTGAAATCTCCATGCATCTCCCTAACAGCCTAAGCAATCACACATCTTCTACTAAGGCTGTTAAGACTCAAAGAAGGAAATATGTGTGCTCTCTGTCTCAACTCCTTAATCTGCCTATCAGTGAGTCCTACTGGCATCCTCCTCAGTTACCTCTAGGCCTTGCTACTTAAGAGTCTAACGCAGAAGGTAGACTTGAGTTTGAGGCCATCCTGGTTAACATAGGGAGACTACTGACAAATTTCTAGTTATCAAGAGGGTGAGTACAGAACATTTTTTTAGGTCAGCCTGAATTGATGAGGAAAGTAAGAATATCAGTCCAGGTTTAGGTGAATTACCAAGCCTGGGTTTAGTATTTAAAACTATATGCTAAAATGAGCAGAGTGGTTCCTGCCTGTAATACCAATACTTAAGATGCTGAGGCAGGAGGATCACAAGGTTGAGGCCAACCAGACTTAGCAAGATGATGAAAGTGGCACTGTGGCTCAAGTGGTAGAGCACTAGCCTTGAGCTGAAGAGCTCAGGGACAGGGCCTAGGGCCAGAGTTCAAGCCCCACGACCAACCAAAACAAACAAAAAAAAACAGAGTTATCAAGATGAGATCCTGTCTTGAAAAAATAAACTGCTTTGCCAAATAATCGGTGTTCTACATAGTTGTTGGGAAGCCCGATTCATTCATTAAATGAACCAAAGACTAAGAAAAGTGAGAGTGAGGAATGGCACCGCAAGGTCCCTGCATTCAGAGACCTTCATTTCTCTGGAGGAGCAGACAAAATATATGAACAATTACACAGGAAGATAATTTCAGATAATGCTAAGTTCTGTGAAGAAATCCAGTGGAGGTAATAGTAAGAAGTTTCATATTACATGAAATTGAGTGCTTAAGACTCTCTGAAGAAGAAAGATCCAGAAGCAGAAATGAGCAGTGAAAAATTGGCTGTGGAACAAGAGCTGACTGAGAGGAAGGAGAAGTTAGCACAACTTGCAGATAATGGAACATCCAGGAGATGGTCATATGAAGGACTAGAGTATATGAGCAGAACTGCCCTGTAACTCACAGGACATTCACTCTGTCATCATTTGCCACATCTTTTCACTGTACTCCCCACCCTATCTTTTCAGTCTCCTTTACCTATATTCTACCTTGTATTTCTCTTCTGTTTAGGGCCCTCCAAGGTGTTCCTCCCTTCAGGCCCCTATCATGCTGCTCTCAGGACATGAAGGAGAAGTTTACTGTTGCAAGTTTCACCCCAATGGATCCACCTTAGCTTCTGCAGGATTTGACCGTCTTATATGTAAGACACAGTTTTTGAATGTGCATAATTGTTATCTGCCTAAATAATCACTTGGATATAGAACTTATATGGTAAATACAGAATTATTTTGCTACTTGGAAATTGCTATGTATGTGTTCTTCATGGAAGCAAATGTTGAGCTAATTTATAACAAGCAGTAAGTTTAACAGATTAATGGGAATCATGAGAACAAAGAGAACTTTTCCATTTCCAAAGATATGAGGCACTCTTCTTGATCCACACCTAGCACAAGTGAAGGGAGGAGAATCCTAAAGCAGCAACTCACTTTGATAACCTACCTGAACATCATTACCAGATTCTCAGCTAATTAGGAATACTGATATTTGGAAAATAAACTCAGTGAGGCCAATAGCTATGTTCACTCATTTACTCCAGTACTTCACATGTCAAAGGTACTTACAGGATGAGAACAAAATGACCACCATGTGACCTTTAAGGTGTGACCTCCTAGGTTTTCCATAAATCTATCATTTTGCAGTCTGCTTAGGAACTCAGGAAAGGACATATATAGTAGTAAACACCAGCATTTTTTTACAAGGTAAAAATTTAAATATCAGATTATATCCACCTTTTAAAAAATTACGAATTAGGTGCTGGGAAGGTGGCTCAGTGGTAGAGTGCTTGCCTTGCATGCATGAGGCCCTGGGTTCGATTCCTCAGCACCACATAAGCAGAAAAAACCAGAAGTGGCACTGTGGCTCAAGTGGTAGCCTTGAGCTGAATTGCTGAGGAACAGTGCTCAGGCCCAGAGTTCAGGCCCCATGACCGGCAAAAAAAAAGAATTCAAGCAACAATAAATGTTGGCAGGGATGTAGGGTAAGGAAAAAGGAACCTAGTGTAAGGAAAAAGGAACCTAGTATAACGTACATTCTGGAATGTAGTCTGGTGGTTCCTCAAAAAACTAAAGATATAGGGCTGGGAAGGTGGCTCAGTGGTAGAGTGCTTGCCTTGCATGCCTGAGGCCATGGGTTCGATTCCTCAGCACCACATAAGCAAAAAGAAAAAAGCCGGAAGTGGCACTGTGGCTCAAGTGGTAGAGTGCTATCCTTGAGCTAAAGAGCCAAGGGACAGCGCCCAGGCCCAGAGTTTAGGCCCCACAACCGGACCCCAAAAAAAAAAAAGAAAGAAAGGGGGAGCTGGGAAGAGAGCTCAGTGGTAGAGTGCGCTTGCCTTGCTGAGGCCCTGGGTTCAATTCCTCAGCACCACATAAGCAGAAAAAGCAGGAAGTGGCACTGTGGCTCAAGTGGTAAAGCGCTAGCCTTGAGCTGAAGAGCTGAGGGACAGCGCCCAGGCCCAGAGTTCAGACCCCATGACCAGACCCAAAAAAAACAAAAACAAAAAACAAAAAAACCTAAAGATAGATCTCCCCTATGACCCTACTATTCTGGTCATTTATAAGTAACCTTTCCATGGCCTGCGCTGTGCTTTTCTTTTCTAATAATGCTCAATCCTGTCTCCTGTTAACAGTGCTGTGGAATGTCTATGGTGACTGTGATAACTATGCCACATTAAAGGGCCACAGTGGAGCTGTGATGGAGCTACATTATAACACGGATGGCAGGTGAGCATTGTACATGACAATATTTACCATGCTAATTCTTTGCATTCTTTCTCTTTTTTTTTTTTTTTTTTTGGTCGGTCATGAGGCTTGAACTCTGGGCCTGGCCACTGTCCCTCAGCTCTTCAGCTCAAGGTGAGCACTATATAACTTGAGCCACAGCATCACTTCTGGTTTTCTGGTTAATTGGATATAAAGAGTCTCACAGCCTTTCCTGCCTGGGCTGGCTTTCATCCTCAGATCTCAGCCTCCTGGGTAGCTAGGATTACAGGTGTAAGCCACCGGTGCCCAGACTCAGCATTATTTCATTTCATCTTTCTGTGTTGTTGTATTCTTTTTGGCACTGAGATTTGAACTCAGAATCATGTTCTTTTTTTTTTTTTCAGAATCATGTTCTTGTTAGGCAGCTACTCCACCAAATAAGCCATTCCTCCAGCTCTTTTTTTTTTTTGGGTCCGGTCAGGGGGCCTGAACTCTGGGCCTGGGCGCTGTCCCTCAGCTCTTCAGCTCAAGGCTAGCGCTCTACCACTTGAGCCACAGCGCCACTTCCGGCTTTTTTCTTTTTGGTTATGTGGTGCTGAGGAATCGAACCCAGGGCCTCAGGCATACAAGGCAAGTGCTCTACCACTGAGCCACCTTCCCAGCCTCCCCAGCTCTTATATGCTTTGTTTTTCTGGTGGAGGGGTTACAGCTTTGCCCTGGGTCAGTCTTAGACCATGATCTTTCTACCTATAATCTCCCTCATAGCTGAGATCACATGCATATATTATGACTATGTCATAATATATTCAAGGCTGGCCTTGAATCAAGATTTTCTATTACCATCTCCCAAGTAGCTAGGATTACAAGTATGAGCCACCTCACCTGTTTTGTTTCACTTTGAATACTGGAGAAATACCGGGTATGTAATCTATCACTGAGCCAATCTTTTTTTTTTCCCCCGAAATGGCTTTTGAACTTAGAACCTTGACCTGTTTACTTGCTCTGCCGGTGCTCTATCATTTGAGCCACACCTCCCACCTGTTTTTTTGCTAGTTATTTTGAAGATGGAGTCTCATGGACTTTTCTGCTCAGATTGGCTTTAAACCTTGATTC